TTGGTAAAACGTTTATTCGGTTGTGCTTTCCTAAATCATAAATATGGAGATTTAGTAAATGTTCAAATATCACATGAAGCAATAATCCTCTCAAGAATTAGAGTCTACCATTGTTAACGAATGGTAACTAGTAAGTGAGATTTGAGTAAGGTGTTCTATCGATGATCTTTAACCACTTGACATCTCAACGCAAATGATTTTGATTTATTTTGCTTCAACAGACATTCATCGACTGTACATAGTCATTCAAATGCATACTGACTCAATGGTCCAAGAAGTTGATGAAATGTTTATTTTATCAAATCAATTTAATGAACCTGTTCATTTTCGGTATTTTATTTAACCATGTACTATCTAACTTTATACTGTCCGAGATATGGACAGTTAATCAATTTTTGACCTTATTGAAGGATTCTATTATATTGTCTGTCTCCAAGATTTAGGTAATTTATGAACAAAGATAAGATATGTAAAAACTAGTTCAATTAGTGATACTGTAAATTAACCTTACACAAATTACTAAATTAGTGATTCTAGTCTAATTGTACATGAGAGAAATCAATAGATTTGTATAGTTGAATCATTATGATTCTGATAATGATCTAATCTGGATAGAAACAAAGAAAGGAAGAGTAATTGATTCATCATTTAGAAGAGTTGAATTTTCAAACATGAATATATTTTGCATATAACGAAACAAACAAACCTTATTAGATAATGTATATAAGACCCCTTGAAAATAGATAGACAGAATGTCTTTCGAAACATGATTTATTCAGTTGAAATCCTTATGAATCTAAGTGAAGACCTCATGAACTGACAGATGTTTGGTGTTAATCAGTAGAAAGCCATATTTGATCTGGGTTGTACACTTGTTAGAAAAGCATACCTGGAGATTTTTGGGAAAAATCGATGGTTCTTTTAAGGCACATCACCACGTCGATTAGCACCATATTCAGCGAAACTATTAGTAAAGTGTTCAAGTCACAGTTCTTGGGGGACTGAGAACTTACATTAATTAACTACTGGAAAGTAATCAATCTATGAATAAACGTGATATTAGCTATCTCGTACCAACCAATCTGTATAAGAGTAAAATGTCAGTTTATACATTTCAAGTTTTTGAACCTTAATATTAATTTTATATTATGTAATCTTTTCGGTAAGTTCTTATAGGATCTAATCGGTGACATAAGATATAGATCCCAAATTATGAACTGACTTGTTTCAGGCCATTAGATTCTCACACGATCTCATTACTTGTTTGTCGAGATCACGTGATTCTAAAGAATGGAAAACTACGATGTAATAACTATTGAGTTAATCCCAGTTCCCAAAAACCATTCATTTGGCATTTTATATAGGAACTGACTTAAGTAATGTGGAAACAAATCTAGCTACCATAAACATTAGATGGCTAATTTTATTGAATCTAAGCCTGATTTTAAATCAACACCGGGATTAAGAAGACTAATAATAGACTTGTCTTCTGTCTATGATAAACTAATGACATACTAAAAAGTACGGTATGCTAGTTACTGGTCATGAATGGCATATGAATGGCGAACCACATACACAAGTTCTTATCATCTCATTTAGATTTTCATGTTGTCTGAATGACATGCCACCGTTAAAAATACACATTTCCGTTTCATCCAATACACCTACATTCTGAACGCCATTGAATCATTAGCTAGTCACCCTAGATCAATTTCCTAGAAATATTCAATCAAATGGTTATTTTGCTCTCTACAAAGAGTCAATAAGCTCCTTAGTCTACTGAATTTCACTTTTCACTGAACTTTAGAATTTTACTACAACACTACACAATTTATTATGCCACATAAACGTATTCCAGTATTCAGCATCTTCGTAATGAGCTGTTGTATACCACATAAATTCTTCCAGCTAGCTTCCTGATGTATTGGCAAAGTCACAGGTCATTAGTTATGTTTAATTGAATACAGTCCAATCACTCCACTATGCTGGTTATACACAGTTTGGTATTTGTCTGTGGGTTTACTTATACAACAATATGAATAATTCTGTTCATTTCAGAGTAGTGTGATCTCTAGAACCAGTATCTATTACATTATCGGGTGAGAGATTGATTGGTTGCAATAAGAAAATTAATAGAGGAGAACTTTGAAACCAGAAAAGCGAAAAATGTGGTTGGAGAAAGTAGTAGATAAGGTATTTAATTACGCGAATAATTCGAACGCACAAACATGCAAGTGAAAGAAAATGACAAAGAGCGAGGTAGTAATAGACTGATGTTATGTGGTGATAGTAGTAGTGATAGATAAGTTGCTTAAAGTGTATTATATAAACTAGTCACAACAGGAGGTGATGATCCAGTGGCCTGTGAACTCTTTACCTGGCACAGCATTCGTTATTAGGCAACAGTCAGTAAAAAAGAATGGGAACGTGTCTAGGTTTCCGATTTCTGATGTGTAATATTTTGAGGGTCGCCTCATGGAGTGAGAAGGCTTGATTGAGATGCTATGCTCGTGTTATAGTGAGTTTCTCCAATGTCGTTTACATATCAACTTACTTTATTATTAAGGGTCTTTTCGATTGTTAGAAATCTCTCTAATAAAATTAAAGTGTTAAAAATTCATATAAGTAACTTAATGGTCGTTATGAGAGAACTTACGGTGTTATATCTGATATGTGACGAAATTTTCAGCATTCAGTGGGTTGCTAACCGGTGCATTTTCGTTGATTTTGCTATTCATGACCTTCTGGAGTTCATTCTAAAAGCCGCGATATTATTCTCTGAAATATCTGCGCTAATATTAAGCTTAAGAAACGTTTGTCAAAAGCAGATATTTGGCACTCATAAGGAATATTTAAAATAAAATTTCTACATTCGGCAAAAACTAAGTTTACAAGGAACAAAGTGTCATCTCTCAAGGGACAGTGACAGCAGACGGCTCAATACCTGCACTCAGCAGTTATGGAATAGGAACGAAAAAATCTCAAAGGCGTTAATCTTTCTCAATGAATACTAATATAGTGATATGAATGCAGACTTAACTTGATTCCTTATTTTGAGTTAACTCTTCTGAATGCCTAAAATCTATTTCAGACTGATGTGGTCAGTAGCTGGGCAATTAGCAAAAACTTTGAATTCTAAGGCTGCTTCTCTCATGCTGTTATTAGAAGATTCAACTTATTCCACATTTTCAGCCGCGGGAACAGTTGATTCAGTGTTTCTGGCTTGCTAAACTGCAATCACGAAAGTTAGAACAGTTGGATGAATTGAAGGAAGACTTTCGAAATTCTCTTTAGTCTTACCTTGAAATGGATGGAAAGAGTTTGCTGGTCAAATGGCAGTATTTAGTGAATGTTGTGTAATGTTTAACAAAAAAGATGCGCTATTCATTATTTTGTTACGTTTTCTATGGAAGCGCAGCCAACGAGGTTCCTATGGGTGATGCGGGAAAACAATATTCAACTGCCCATTTTTAATTTATTAGTTTTCTAGAGGAAATATTTCCCTTGATTCACCGGTAACGATCGTTGCTTTTCAAACGCGATTCGTAAAAGCAACGCTAGGTATTTCACCAACCATCGACACAATAACATTTTTTCAGGTTATGCTCATCTACACACTTATGACTATACTACATGTGATAAGGACATTATAAATACAAAATCTGTATACTTAGATCATCAAATAATAAACCGAAATGTTATCAACGTTTATACACCAAATACTTACTGCAGTTGCAGCCAGGATCAGAAGGTCAACATGTAGCATGATTAACATCCGGTAAATACGTAAGAGAAATGAACGATAGTCAAGGAGACCCTCAGTAAGTCTAACTAATGCTGGTAAGGTCGCTATTTAAACCATTTGGGACCTTAGTAACAAACGTGGATAAAGCTATATCTCTTTAGCATGATGTCTTGTAATTTGAGGACAGCTTTAAGATCCGTCAAGAGTGAGTTCCGTAACTCAGTAAATAATATTGTCGTAATCTGTAAATATCAAAATAATGAAACAGTCGAAGTAGCAAAGCTTACCGAAAACTAGTGAAAGAAGATTTATCTTGTGTTTCTGGTACTGTTGCCCCGCTGCAATAATAAAATTTGTGACTTACTTCAAGACAACACGGCCATTCATATTTTCAGATGATTCAGCTTTTACATTATTTTCAGCTGTTTCATTCACAAGAGATAAACTATACGAAAAAGTAAGCCAATATCTGGAGAGAAGAATTTTGATGATACACTTTAAGTTCGGAACTCTTTGGCAGAATGATGTGGATCATCAAGTGTTCTCATGTTGTTTTGAAGTTCTATATGGTAGGTAGCCAGTTAAATAGCTAGCTAATCGGACAGATAATTAGGTTATTACTTTACCATCCTACAATGCACTAGGCCATGAGTCACTAGATCTGCGGATTCATTTCAGCTTGTTAACCAGAACTCTAAAATAGCAGCTTTCTGCACAGGATAAATCCTACGATATGTAATCCATGGGCCATTACATATCACACATTGTTAGGGCCAGCTGTAAGCTGTGCAGTACTACGTTTAACAGTTTTGTGGTTTATAATAAGTAATTAAGTTTTAAGAGCTTTCTTGACTTACCGGTCAAACGAATACATTATGAATACATATACGGAGGGAAATGCCATGTTTGTTGGCAGTATCAGGGGAAGCTGAAACACTTTGTGGTTTATTCAGCTTCGCCATAATCTTGCCAACAATAAACAGCATGTTTCTTCGTAAAAGTTTAGACAGGATATGCGAAATCAGAATTCGTAGTTTTGCTGAAACGTCCCACTTAAAACAACACAATTCTGATTGGCTAACCATAACATTTGTAAAATAGTGCCTGAGAAAGCATTTTTGATCATTTGTAGGATAATCTACCAGCTTTAAAGGTTTTTTAAAAGAACTTCACTCCTATGGGTTTTTTTGTTTAAATGACTCAGGTTATATGCTAACTTGTTTTACTCACTACTGAAGCGGTTGTTACCACGAGGATGAAGTGGGTCCCTTTTTTTTCTGTAAATAGTTCAGTAGTACTTTTGCTAGTGTTAATAAAGTTAATTTGTTAGAAGTAGTATTAGTTGTGTAGACTGTTTGGTACACTACGAGTTCATAAGGAAGGGATTGACAATTTACATCAAAACTGTTAGCTCGTGTCATTTTGATAAGTAGCCAGACCTAATCTACTGTTAGTCAATAATGATATTAACATATCGGTAAAATAATGGGTATTTGTTATAATGATTGTCTTGCAAGCTAGTATCTGGCCTCTTGTCACTGGTGTTTAAACTTGATCCATATAGATATTGGTCGGTGCATGAATATTTAGTTGTTTTATTCGCAGGAGAGTTCTTCCCAAATGAAAGCAAATCGTCATCATCAGCATGCTTTATCCTTTTGTCTTAACCTCTTTGGTTCTTGTTAAAAGTTTGCAATAGGCTAAACACTCGTCATACGTTATTTGGGCTTATAGCTTCATAAGCTATTTAGACTGGTGTGATGAGTTGTCGCCTTGTAATGTTCAAATTATATCTATAGTAAATGCTAATCACTATGTACTAGATATATCATGAAACATTTTATACCCATCGAATACTCATGCCCATATAAATCAATTATTATAACTTTAGGTTGGAAGTGTGCTCTTACAGTGGTTTCAAAGTTTATCCGGGACATGGAAAACGCGCTATCCGCATCGATGGTCGTGGGTTTTACTTCATAAACAAAAAATGTGAACGGTCTCATTTCTTAAAGCGTAATCCGCGCGAAATCAGCTGGACGGTGCTCTACCGAAGGAAGTACAAAAAAGGGATAAGTGAAGAGCTGGTAAAAAAGCGAACTAAACGTGTAACCAAGAGTGCTCGAGGTATTGCAGGAGCAAGTCTGGCTGAAATCATGGCTAAACGCAATCAAAAGCCAGAAGTTCGTAAAGCGATGCGTGACCAAGCCATACGGTAAGTTGGTTTTTTTATAAATCCAACATCAATATAGTGCAGCTAAAGAAAAACAAAAGCAAAAAGAAATGGAGAAAAAGGTGAAGAAGGTCGAAAAGAAAAAGCCCCAAGTAGCCCCTTCAAAACAAAAAGCCACCAAGATTACTCAAAAGGCTGCTCCTAGAGTTGGTGGAAAGCGTTAATACATATGTGACTTGCTTATTTTGTGGAATAAATTTTTCTTTGTATTTCATGTGTTGAGTTACTAAAGTTGATTAGTCCCTTGAATCACAAGATTGCTAGTACTTGAGGATGTTGTTCATTTGTAATATCTCAATTGCTTATGCACCAAACCTTCATCTCGGTTGGCTTTTGTATGTAAATAGTTCGCCTATTTAGTCAATTTTAGTATAAAGCGTATGTCAGTCACTCATTGAAACTTAGAGGGAGACTCAACAAAACATTAATTCCATGTTACTGGGTAAGGATTAATCCCTTCTTGATCCCATTTAAATATATCCGCAAACCTTTCAAGGAGGTTGTGCTTTTCCCAATTCTAGTAGTTATTGTGACCAATGATGTGAAGGAAGCCAACATGTTGTTCCGTGTACACTTGTTTGTAACCTTAATGTGGGTAATCATTTTCATAATTTTATACCGACTTCTTGATAAGATTTGACTAGTTGTACAGGTGCTCACCAATATGGTTCTATCTTGGTGTAACTCACCTATGCGATATCAAATTTGCATTCGTATCTGCATTAAATATTCAGAAAAGTTCACGATATACAACCAATTAATTAGATGGTGTGGAAATTGTAAATAATGTCATGATACCAAAAGCAGATTAGCGAAATGTTTCCCCGTCTTGCCTCATTACAATAGATGCTCTCATCAAGTAGGCCAGTTTTTTACTCGTGGATGTGGCAAATTACACTTATGGTCGATCTCATGATGACTTAAAGGATATATTCAGCCGAGAAATAGTTCGACAGCCACTTGAATATGATCCTTAGCAGGGACTGAAAGTAGCGGTACGGTTCTGGTCTCGAATAAAAGTTTGAGAGTAGCGAAAGTGTGGTGTGAGTAAATGGAAAACTTGGGTGAGCAGGATTGGCGTTAGAATTACTGATGGTTTCTCGCCTGGAAAACCCTTTAAAATCGCTATAGCAATAATGATTTGGTAATACTCTAAGGGATAATCTGTGTGGTCGTTGTTCAAATTTAAAAGTTGTTATTGGCCTACCAAAGCCTTAGAAGCGATAATAAACCAGAAACATGTTATCTTGAGTGTGCTGCCTTTGGTTTCATTGACTTGACACTTCCTAAGTTATCGGTCCTTATGTTATTTTTGCAATATTTCTCTAAATGCTAGAGTTTGTTTGAAAGCCGTTAACTTATATTGGCAATAGGAGTCCTGAAGCTATTAGTGTATTTAGTATTATTACTATCATCACCTCATATATATACAACACAAACTGTCTGTCGATTAGATCGTAATATTGAATCATGCCTCTATCCTTTGTTAGGTGACAATTAGTTCCGTTTTTCGTTCGGTGGTAGGGTTTATTTAACAAGCTAACTTGAAATTCACGTATCAGGGTATGTGTTTGCACCGATTTAACCTGTTTTAGACTTAGTCCCAAGCGCTTATTCGTTCATGTTTTTCAGGTACTGGTCCAATATACAGGTTACTTAGATGAATATATTTCTTATCTGACGAAGTGGAGACGTAGTGTTGCTTGACACTTTTCCAATGCGACTTAAAATTTGGCTCAATGAGCTTTATTATATTCAGACGCTCTGACTGCATTTCTTACGAAAAGTTATATACTATAGAGTTTCTGCTATCTTTGATAATTTATTTATCGAACATGCACTTTGAAACAAAAGTAAGGTATCCAGCAATTTTTAGCATGTAGTCGTTATTGTTGGTTGTGAAATATCTGCACATTCATGGGAACTAGCCACTTCATCATGAGGTAATCTTCGTAAAGAGCCTAGAATCAAGTGTATTCATCTTAAAAATGCCAATATAGATGCATTTGAGTCTAAAATTATGTAGGACTTGAATAGTAAATTTATGGAATGTCTGAGAAGCATGTGTTATTTCAATATCAATGTTGTAATCAAGAAGTGTTTTAGAAAATGTTGGTCTACGTTTTTAGTGTATGATGCACAGGGTTATGTGTTTGTGTTATGAGGTTTGGTCAACTTGAAGGATTTTATGTTGACAGTTTGTGGCACCATATAAAACTCGTATAGTTAGGATTTCCTAAACTATGTAAGCTATCACCACGAACAATATTTGTCTTAAACTAGTATGTGAGGATTATACGTGAACAGAGCAACGTTAGTTGCAAGCTACACTACTGTAATAATGAATGCCCATGTTAATGGTGTACGTAAACTGGGAATTAAGGCTGTCATCTATACACATGTGCATTGTAAGAATCAGTGAATATGAGTGGTACCACAGTATTGTTTTCTCCCTAATTTATCAGGAAATGAGTGCTACTGGTTTAGCTTAGATGATATCAGTCATAATTAATGGTCAATATTAACGTTCCCCGAATTGTTCTTTGTCAAACTAACGACAGTAATTTTTATCAATCCTTTGAATTCTTACCAATAAAGACAAGGAGTTGTTGGTGGTATTTATTGCTCTCTAGCTTTGTACGATGTATTGTCGTGTGCTGGTATAAACTGCGTTATGTAAGACTGTAGAATGCCCAATCAATATACAGCGACAAACAACGTGGAATGCAACCGCTGCCTTAAAGTATTCTTGGTATATTCTACTTAACGACTATATAAGTTAAGTTCCAGTGATTTTTCGCCCAGATACCATACCATTTTCCACTTCGTTACCCACCTATTAAATGGAATCAGTTTCAAGATATTAGTATGGAAGTGTTCCCTAGGTTAGAACCTTTTTAATGACTAGTGCTCTAACCCATCACCCACAATTTCGTTTAATCTGCCAATCACAATATAAAAGTTCCATTTTTCGATTATTAATAGTGCGATTACACTGTGATTATTGTATGTTATATAGGGATATTTTTATTTCACACCATAGTTTCACAAAGAATCCCTTTCAATCTCTCTCGTTAGGGTAAGATATTCGTACGACATAATTGCTGAATTCGCACCGTTATCGCTGCTAAAATATAAAACCTTATCTTACGTAGAAATGGTCCTAAAGTGACAGCCATTAAAGCACTTCACTGCGTTCCATACCCTTCAAATCGAACAGCCGAGTAGTCATCCTACATAAAATGTACCTCAGAGCTAGGTACTGGATAGCAGGTATATGAAATCAATGGTCGGATGCGACTGCAGTATCCGAGTATGAATTATGATTGGTTTATGCTAGAAACTGACCGCGTTTCTCTACCGTAAATTTTGATTTATGCTGTTAAGTGATTTAATCACAATACAAATGTATGACCTGTTCTATCGTTAAACAAATGGAAACAAGCGATACAAACATTTAAGTACCTTTGTGATTCAGCCGCAACCTAACGCACTGAAAATCTGTAACGAGATCTTACTTTTCACAGATACCTCGATACAACCTATCCTTTTTGGCTACAGGCTGGCGACATTTTTGTAATAATGGTTAGTACAGAACGCGAGCTTCGTCTGATTTACACACACTAGTATGTCTGCATCCTAGTTTTGATATTCACACAAAGAGACTTGAACATTAACAGCCTACTGCTAGGTAAGACAATAGTAATAATAATAACAGCTTAAAATGCTGGGTTTCAAACTCGAAATATGAACAATAACACCACGATTCTGGTTATTTATTTACTCATAAATATTGGTACAAGGAAGCACCAGATAAATATGCGCCTCACAAATCTCGTTTGATTTGTGTGAGGGATGTGATACTGCCCAGACTGAAGCAGGTGCTTTGCTCAGGGGGCCACACCCCGAGCCTTTGACCTGAAGGTCTAGTCCACAAGGCAGTGGAGCATCTTAAGGAGATGCAGTCCCATGGTAGCCGGTGACCAACAACAGGTTCATACGCCATTTGTTCCCTCAGGATACTGGAGCCAATGTGCACCACTGGTTTGGAATGAGGGTTTTCCAACTCCCTTAGGTGAACTTTCCGTGTCCACCAATCCGGTTAAAGCGCCTGGACATTTGCTTTTCGTCCTCTAAATTTCGTAAACAACACCCCAGTGGCGAGAAGGCAGTGAGTAGGACTTCCCTAATAGAGACTATATTCGCTGGCCATGTGAGAGCATTTCCAGAGGGAGAGTGGACTCTCCCCACTCTCGGCCGTACCAGGTCATTTGGGGGCACGATTCAAGTACTATATCTAATTAACATGTAAGTAATATACAATAATAATATCGGGTATGTACACATCACCGCCAACAACAAATCATCATTAAAGGAAAACTTGAATTTATCCATGTGTATTTGTGATCTATTTTTCACGCATATACACCAAAAGAAATACCGGTTAAAAATAGGGGGAAATCAAAAAAAAAACTTTTTTGTCAGTGTGTGTACTTTTCGTTTTAATCTGTGGATATTCTCGCAACAGATTAACTATCATAAATAGAGATTTCAAAAAAATGAAGGAGAGAGAGTTACGAAGGAAGAATTTCATCAATATTGACAACTGAACAAAATGTTCAGCAAAAGACAAACAAGAAAGCGAAAACAAGATAGTGTGATTACGAAGTATCAACAACATCACAGATTAAGGAATCATTGTCTACCATTGAAATAATAACAATATTAAATTAATGAACTGTAACCATATGTGAAAGTAAGGTGGGAAATAGTTTAACTTCCATGACACCATTCCAGAGTAGAAGAAAGAAAAGAGTTTATTAACAAATAAAAAACAAACAAATGGGAAATAACTAATTAAACAAGTCAATCGTATATAAACTAGATATTTATTTAGCTGGAAGATATAAAAAAAAGGAAAGTTCTTTTTCTTTGTATTTGTGCTTTGAAACCCCCCCCCCTTTATTTTAGTTGGGAGAGGACACAAGATTCACTGAGTACATGTGTATAGACACATGATTCACAAGTGTGATATTATGAATACAACAGTTTGGAGGAGGATAGTTACTGAAAAAGAAAAGGAAACGTAGGTTATTTTTTAGCGAGATTAAACAATAGGTTTAAAAAAAATCAGATATAAGATCTAGGCGTGATTACTGTAACCAGATTAATAAATCGGGGTCCAATGTTTTACAAGTCTAACTTTAATACGCTTATCATATCGCGCTACCATCTTTCCATACGGTGAGTATTATCCTCACACTCAACAAGGTTGTGAGATTGTGGATATGCACTACTCAGGAGTCCGATACTAAGACAAAACAACTGTCCAGTGTTTTCAGGTATTCAATAGTTGTCCAACATAGATCGGTTCGTGATCTCAGATAAATCTAACTATCTCTACAACTCCATACTGAAAAACTTATTTGTTGATGGAGACAAGTACAGACTATTTAGTCGTAGTCCATGTGATTATTATAACCAACGGTTGAGACTCTGAGCGATAGTTCAAAATTGTCTACAATGATGCAGGCTCCTGGATTCTTAGTTTCTAAATTACAATTTAAAATTTTCATCCTATTAATCCATATTTTTCCTTCTCAAATCATATTATCTATGCTTAATCTTTTCTATTCCCACTAATTCTGTTACTTATGTCCGGCGGTTTAACCGGGTTGGTGAACACGGAGGGTCCAACTAGGGGAGTTGGAAAACCCTGATTCCAAACCAATACTGCATGGGCTCCAGTATCCCGAAGGAACAAATGTCGTATGAACCTATTATTGGTCACCGACTACCATGGGACTGTATCTCCTCACGATGCTCCACTGCCTTGTGGACCAGATCTTTAGGTCAAAGGCTCGGGGTGTGGCCCCCTAAGAAAACCAACTGTCTCGATTTGGTCACCTGAGCAATATCACAGCCCTCACACAAATCAAATGAGATTTATGCGGCGCATATGTATGTGGTGCTTCCTTGTACCAATACTCTGAGATTTGTCTTGACAATTTCATTTGATTATGCTAGTGATTTATGACATCTTGAACTAATGTAAACATGTATCAAGTTCTGTACTGGGTATAACTGACTAATTGACACTCAAGCAGATATGTTCTTTATATCATACAAAACAAAATGTTGATCATGCCGGGTGAATTGTATTTGAACTCAATGAATTCCATCGAGTAAGTCATGTTTGCATAGAACGGATTTATGTAACTGACTGTTATTCTACTGATATGTGCTCCAATTAAATCAAGCATTTTAACTAATAAGTCTAGTCAATTTGCAAAAAGCCTATTAAAAACAATTCTGCATTTGGCAAATGTTAATAAATAAAGTGAGCCAAAGTCATAGATAGTGATAGGTCTGGGCATAAATATGTATGAGTTTAAGATGTTACAATTTATGCATTAAAGTATAGTGAGAAAGCAAACTGACAATATAAAACTGCACACGATTAGAGCATCACGCATATATGTAAGTATCCCTCTTGTTGATATAAAGAAATTCCAGTCTCAAATGGGATCTGTGTATCTTTAGAAGATTGCATATATTTACAACTTTTAGCAAAGTTGGGCTGTGGTTAGCAGTTTATTCAAAGGAACGCGTTTCATGCTATGTGACATCTAGATGGATGTACCTGTATCTCAGGGTTGATCTTCACGGTGGAAGATAGCAGATTCCGGTTTCACAATAAATATACTGAACTTCACTGAAAAATGAACAAGTGAAAATATATATGGAAAAAACCTACAGTGATACCCATATGGACCTAAATATTACGATTAGTTCCAGCGTAACAACGCATTATTAACAACAGTCTCCAAGCTGTACACATTACCGAATGAATAGTGTTGAGTTCAGACGAAGGATACTAGTCAAAAACAGCAAATCGGATGAAGAGTTAGTGGACCTTCATTGACTGGGTTGGTTGAGATGTGCATTATACATAGGCCAAGCTACCGCTTGCTTTGACGCAAAATGCCCGCTCGTGTAGATTGGAAAAAACGATGACTATTCAGATCACGACGTCATATAAATATATGGCCATTGGTCTGAGGTTTTTTGATTGGGACACACCATTTATTTGGGATTCGGGAGACAAACGTGATCAGTGATTTGAGACGTTAGTATGAAATACTTCAGAATCGAACTAAATGAAGCAAATGTAATTCACTTTTAGTCTCCCTTTAAGATCTCGAGTTTTAGAATTACTTCATATCTAGTTCTTCTTTTTCAAATCATTTTTTTAATATCTAATCTCATTTTAGCGATTATTGTAAGGATTTTATATGGCAACTTACATTTAAGAATATTTGTATCGGACTCTAAGGTAATAATAACTAACTAATACATCTCCACAAATTATGAACACACACTTGAACTATTCATTTAAGCCCCCAAACGCCCTGATACGGTGGAGAGTGCAGAGAGCTCGCCCTCTCTCTCTCGAAATGCTCTCACATGACCACGCTTAGACAGCCACTGACAAGGAAGTCTTACTCACTGCCTTCTCGCACCACAGGTGTTTTTTACGAAACTAAGAAGACAAAAAGCGGATATCCGGCGCTTTAACCGGCTTGGTGGATACGGTGAGTCCACTAGGGGAGTTGAGTAACCACAATTTCAAACCAATAGTGCAGATGGGATCCAGGATCCTGAACGAACAAACGGCGTATGAACGTACTGTTGGTCACCGGCTACCATGGGACTGAATCTCCTTACGTTGCCCCACTGCCTTGTTGATCACACCTTCAGGTCTGTAACCCCCTAAGAAAACCATCTGCTTCGGTCTGGGCACCCGGACAGTATCATAGCCTTCACACAACTAAATGAAATGATAATTTTTGTGTGGCGCATATATATCTGGTGTCCCCTTGTACCAATATTTATGTGTTCAAATAAATAATAATAAATAACTATTCCACTAAAAGTGCTCTGGCGCGAGACTCTTAGGTCCTGGGTTCAAATCTCGCGAGTGCAGGATCGTGGATGCGCACTTCTGAGGAGCAGTCCCACAGTAGGACGAAACGGCCGTCCAGTGCTTCCAGGTTTTCCATGGTGGTCTAGCTTCAATTGACTCATGATTTCAACAATGAAAATCTCTAATTATCTGAAAAATAAAATTTGATTGTAGAGACCTACATTTCATCATAATTTAATGAGGGATAGAGAGATGAAAACATAGAGTAAAACAATGAAATTACGACATGTAAATTGGTTAAGATTAACAACAAAATTACAAAAACAGGATATACATACACAAATATATAAGATTACCTACCTACCCAATAGATGGAATAGATTATTAAAAAAAAGTAAGATTACACACAAAATTGAAAGATTTCATGAATATTATGAACGTGGATTGTTAATTGTTTGTGGTAGTGGGGGTTGAAGTGGATTGATCAATTTATTTGCTCCTGATTCTATAGTGTCATTAGCCAAAATATTTACATAACGTGATCGTGAATTGCTAGTACGTGATGAAATAGACCCTGAAGGAACAGAGACCGGATGGTATGTAGGAAATAGAGGTGGATTCAGCGCACTATTATTATTATTATTACTATTACTCATTGAACTGTCATCATTTTTTGGTATAATAAATGAAGATGCTGGCGCTGGCGGAGGTGGTGGTACTTTGTTTGATTCACTTCCGTCAGGATCATTCACATCAATCCATTGTTTAAGGCGATCATCCCAAACTATCTATAATTGTAAAATATATATGACCCGTAAAAAGACAGTGAGACAAATTTAAAAAAGATGGTTATACTACTCAAGCGAAACACAATATGATTAAACAACTATCAGTAATTAAAATAGGATTCAGCGAAGGAACTATCAGTAGACAATTGCTTTTAATAGTATAGAAATTTCCTATAGTCTTGGGATCACGAACTGACCTCAGTTAGACCACTATTCAAAACCTAGAAGGACTGTTTCACCCAATTACGGAACTCCTCAAGAGCACGTAGTCACGACTCAGCCACAAGGAATCAAACTCAGTACCTTCGCTTTCCTGTATAAATACCTAGACTCTACATTACTGAGCCGGCATCCAACGGTGTACATATCTAACTTTATTCACGATATTGTGCGATCATCTTTCATTGCCTGTTGTGGATAACTGTCTCACACTCGACATGATTAAACGCCGCTCTTTATAGCTTCTTCCTAGGACTTCAGGACTCGCATGCTAAAGTTGGTCACTACTAAGCACATGCTAATTGTTATTGTGAGGTTTTGGATAGGTCATAGTTTTCTTATTGAATACCAGTTCAGTGGTATATAGACCAAAAATTTACGCGCGAAACCGAAGGTCCTTGGTTCTATTTCTTGTAGTGAAGATTTGGACACACACCACTGAGGAATACCACGGTAGTACGAAACGGCTGTCTAGTGCTTTCAGGTTTTTATTGGTGATCTTAATAAAGTCAATTTATGATTTAAAAATATCATTAAAGTGTATAGAGGAAGAACAAAGATTAGAGCAGAATAATAACGATTTATATAGTTGAGATCACGAGTCAATTGAAGCTAGACCACCACGGAAAACCTGTAAGCACTGAACGGCCGTTTCGTCCTATTTTGGGACTCCTCAACAATGCGCATCCACGATCCCGCCAACCGAGATTCGAACCCAGGACTGATAGGTCCTACTGAGGAATACCACAATAGAACGAAACGGCCGTCCAGTGCTTCCAGGTTTTCCATGGTGGTCTAGCTTCAATTGACTCGTGATCTCAATTATATAAAATTACTAAATCCCCACGAAACGCCCTTCTGATAATAACGATTTATTTCGCTTCATTAGAAATCACTGAACAATTTTTCCGTTTTAGTCTGGAACTCTTTAACAGTGCACCATCAATGATTAAACTCAGATCTCGTTTTTTAGTAGTTGTCTAACTAAATTCAATCTATGAAATTCCGAAAACCATAAGTAACAAACTTAATAGTAGAGTTAAAGAACCACACAATGTTTGTTAGCGGGGCATAGATTGGATTAAAGCATGTTTCAAGGAAAAGAATGCTATAAAGTTTAGTTGAAACGTGTTGACGATAGGAGTACCAATTTAGAGATTTCAGTACGGATATCAACAACCCCAAATGCCTTGGTACAGTGGAGATAGCGGAGAGCCAGCCCCCTTCACGAAATGCTTTCACATGACCACGCGTACATAGCCACTGACAGGGAAGTTCTAGTCACTGCATTCTCGCTACAGGGGTATTGTTTACGAAATGCCTGGCGCTTAAACCGGATTGATAGGCACGAAACATCTCACCTAGGGGAGTTTGGAAACCACAATTCCAAACCAATAGCGCACATGGGATCCAGGATCCTGAACGAAAAAATGGCGTATGAATCTAATGTTGGTCACCGGCTACCATAGGACTGCATCTCCTTACGTTGCTCCACTACCTTGTGGATTAGACCTCTAGGTCAAAGGCTCACACAAATCGAATGACGAAGTGTGGTGCACATATATTTAGTGCCTCATTGTACCAATGTTTATGTGTTTAAATAAATAAAGAAATAAATATCCCAAAATCAACTAACATTCAAAATAAAATAATCTTTTTAGTTACAGAATGTGGATTAAGGCATATGCATTTAAGGGGCCTTTATATAGTTAGAAATGGATTATAATGTCCTTAATATCAACAAAGGGAGAAAATAATAGCATATACGCTCTTTTGGTTGTTTTCAAGATCAGAAACTAAATTTTCCTTCGATTATTCGAAGAATGTTGACTTTCTCACTCGATTCCTTTCTTACATACATGGAAGTGACAAAGGATTTCATTGCAAAGTCAACTAACAAACACTAATCTCAAGATCATTACCTAAGTGAACAATTTGATTACTATAAGCTAGATTGTTTATGTGTGTTACAATCATATGTGTATTGGAAGTTCTCATAGAAACCTTACTAGTTCCTTAAATAGAACTGTTCACTGTAATCACATATCACTATTAACACTTGAATCAGATGGGAATGTTATAGAATTGAGTTGTTGGATGTATAAGTTTATTAATAAAACTAAATTATACTGGCCATCTTGAAAAAATTGAATCGGTCAGTCAGAATGGAGAAGATAGAGAGTGTTGAACTGATGAGCGATTTTTAAAATGGAATTACGAATACAAGCATTATAAGCAAAGATGGATAGTGGCTAGCAGTGGAATCCAGTTTGACGCGCGTTTCGTCCCACCGGGGACTCGTCAGCCGGAGGAAACTGCATCTCAGAGCTGATATTCACTTTCAGACTCGAACCCTTTACTATTCGCCTCAAACGCCATTGCGTTATCCTCTCGGCTACTGAGTCCTAATAGCCACTTGCTTGTGCACTGGGGTGAAGTTTGAATTTACTTGGCATTGTTTGTTTGAATCTTCCCATTGATGTTTAGGACTGCAACTGGTAAGTCTCTAATTGGCATATGTGCATACTGTGCGTAATGCCTCCATATTGCCTTAATTCACAAACAATACCAAGTGAATTTAAACTTCAATCCATTGCACAAGCAAGTGGCTATTAGGACTCAGTAGCCGAGAGGATAACGCAATGGCGTTTGAGGCGAATAGTAAAGGGTTCGAGTCTGAAAGTGAATATCAGCTCTGAGATGCAGTTTCCTCCGGCTGACGAGTCCCCGGTGGGACGAAACGCGCGTCAAACTGGATTTCACTGCTAGCCAACATGCATCTTTGCTTACAATTCTTGTGAATTAATACTATATCGAGGCAATACACACAGTATGCACATATGTCAATTAGAGACTGACCAGTTGCAGTCCTAAATATCAATGGGAAGATTTAAACAAACAATACTAAAGGAATTGAGAATAGCCTGCAAATAAATACCAGGATTTCTCCATTTTGGTTAATTTCGTTGATAATAGTGATGATAGATTATCTACCTATAAAATGTCAAAGTATTAAGAAAAAAGCATCTTTGATTGTTGTGGTCAGGAAACAATAAACAGAAAAGTAATAATGTTCAGAGATAAGGTTTTTTTAGAAGTATTAAGGTTAGGAATGTTAATTTTAGGATTAGGGAAACCAACAGTCACAATTTTGCCGATTTCTCGTAATATACAACACATTTACATATGGTACATTTTGGCTAATTAATATTTGACTAGTTAGTCTCAGGATTTCTCTGACGATAATGTAGTTCTATCGTTCTGTGATTGATTGAAGATGGTAGATTAAGAACATTTCAAACATGTTTCAAGCATTAATTGGGAATTTATCCGTAAGATGTAGTAAAAGCTACTAATTGACGCTATCTTGATGATTTGATTCAACTTAAGCAATTGTTTTCAGTTAATTAAACTAACTATAGTCATTAAGCTAGTCAAGTTGTTCAACCCTTAGTGTGTTAACCGAATTATACCAATCAGATTTACAGTATATTAGTGAAATTATTATCAAGTTTATATAATGGACTGATCTTAGTTAGACTATCAGTGAAAACTAGAAAGCACTGGACAGCTATACTGTTCTAGTATGTAACTTCTACACAAATTGGTTGACATTAAAAATGTAAACCATTGGATACAAATTATAGGTTAAACGTCCGCTGTGACGTTTGAAAAGTACTTTGCTTGATTCTCAGTTAGACTATAGGATGAGCATTGCTAAGAAGTTCCATACTACAGTAGGACAACTGTCCAGTGCTTTTTAGTTTCTAATGACTATATAACTATACCACATCCATGATATAAACTGTAAACTATAACAATCTTTACACACTCTTCACACACCCTTATTAATGTTAAAACCATTGCTTCACATATGATAGATGAGCATGAGGAAAGTATGGAAAAACACAAATACCTCAGTTGTGCAGCGAAACATTAATAATTTCGCCTGTGTAATACAAACTGTGTTAAATCTACGAATCATCCACAGATGAACAAGGAATTGATGTTAGAAACACAAATACTCTCACACTCAAAAAAGGGGAAAAAGATCCTGTCTAAGTCACAAATTATCCATAGGAAAGAGTGTGAATAACACAGCAACAACAAGTGATTATGATTAATTTAAGATAGTAAAGTATAATGAAATCCAATTAACGGATATAACTAACAGGGAGTCAAAGAAAAGGTATACATATGTGTGTTTAGGTAGAAAATCACTGATCAGTTGGTTGGTTGGTTAGTTGATTAGTGAGCAGTAATACAATAATCATAGTTATTACCATAATTATAATAAACATATATATATCGCAAACCTATAAATAAGGCGGATCGCAACTCAACAACTTACAGAAGGCTTAGAATCATCCGGTAGATGAATATTCTTTGGACCATTTTTCTTGAGACGTCCAAACCAACCTGATAACCAACCATCCTGTAAAGTAAAACAAATCACTATACAATCAGGTATTTGTGAATTTGCTTTGCTTTTAAACAGATCTAGTGATATGGTATATACGCATGACTAATATAGATTGTCATAGGATACTGACAAAAAAAACACGATTCTTTTGAATAGATGTTTGTACAAGAATATTTACATCTAAGTGGGAGAACAGGGTTAAAGTTTACTATTGATTACTAGAAGCCTTAAAGCTATTAAATTCATAATATTCATCACGCCGATGGACGATGTTATTTAGTGGAGACATTGACAATCAAATAGTAGGTAGGTGCAGACAACCTGAGTTCGTGTGTTTATCCGGGCCGGTTGGTTATAGACATGGCTCAGAATTGTTTGAAATGGCACAGTTTCATTCATCTCTTTGTCATCCTTTAGAAACCAAGTGCGGAAATATCCTTGTAACTTTTTTATTTTCTTTTTCTATTACGTTTACTGAGGTTACTGACACTACTACTGATACTATATACGACTGAATTACGAAACTAAGTTACAACTTCTCATCAGTCGTTCAGTTAACCGTAAGTAAATATACCGATCAGTTTAAAATGTTACACTACATAAACCCAGTGAATTGAAATTATCAAGACAAATATTAGTTGTAAGAATATTAGAGGTAATAGAAATAATTAGTGATAGACAATACTTTTTGAGAAGGGATAAATTTATGGAATAGAAACAATTTAAGTTAACTTTGAAACTCAAAACCTAAGGAAAGACAAAAAGTAAATATATTCGTACCATTGTGATCAGCCCTAATGGGTTGGTGTCTGACGAAATCTCAGCATGGATTCAAAAAGCTCGCTTGGCTTTCGCCAACTTACGTCACCTATGGCGAAGACGAGATATCCGTCTATCAATTAAGGGACGAGTAAACTGCGCAGCAGTTCGCTCTGTCCTACTTTACGGCTGCGAAACATGGCCATTAAGAGTAGAAGATACTCGTAGGTTACTAGTATTTGACCACAGATGTCTTAGAAATATTGCTCGCATCTGCTGAGATCACCAGGTAAGTAATAGTGAGGCTAGACACAGGGTATTAGGGAATGATGGCAAATCAGTTGATGAGGTGATGAATCCTCATCGACTGAGATGGTTGGGCCACCTGTTACGTATGCCTGAACACCGATTACCACGACGCGCTATGCTGACTAGTATTGGGGATGGTTGGAAGAGAGTTAGTGGCGGCCAAACCAAAACGTGGCATCAGTACTTGAAGTCACTAACTTCTAGCCTGAGCCATGTTGGTAGATGCAAATTACTTGGTTGGGATCCGCGTGACTATCGTAACCAATGGTTGGAGACTCTGGGTGACATGGCTCAGAATCGATCACAATGGCGTAGGTGTATACACTCTTTATCTTCCCTTAAACCTTCAGATTAAAATTGATTCATAACTTTCTTCCTTCCTATACTATATCCTTATATACAACCTATCTTTTATATACTACCACCACTAAATTAACTACTTGTATGAATCCGGTGTCCATCTTGTTGTGCTAACGAGGTATGGCAACTTGGATTGATGCATAAATGTTCCTGGTCCTACGTTGTAGCTGACTGACTGACTGAACGTTAAACAAAGTCTCCTAAAACTGATTGCGATAATTGTACAGATCCACATCAGCTAGCTAATACTTAACAACATAGCTCAGACCAGAAGTCAATGACTTCATGAACTGATAACACCTCTTGGTTTGGTTGAGTGTAGCTTTCTTCCAATTTACTGCTCTTACACTAACCAAAATCACGGGTTAATGTAAACAGTGTGATTGAGCATATCTAATGCATTTTCTGAAGTTGCGAAATGTCAGAAATTCAATCTTCTATCGATTAGGATATTATTCTAATGGTTGAATTTATGAGTGAATTTAAGCTAGACTACCAGTGAAAACCTGAAAGCAGTAAATGGTCATTTGGTCTTAATTTATGGCAGTGAAACATGGCCGATAAGGGTAAAGGATATTCGTAGGCTACTAGTATTCGATCATAGGTGTCTTCGAAGCTTTGCTCGTATATCCTGTGACCACCGAGGAAGCAATGCAGTTGTTAAGAAACGAGTACTATGTAAGGATGGCAAATCGATTAATGAAGTAGTGAAACTTCAGTTGAGATGGCTTGGACATGTGTTACGTATGCCCAACCACCGACTGCCCCGACGTGCAATATTTTATAGTGTAGGAGTAGGTTGGAAGAAAGCTAGGGGCGGCCAGACCAAAACATGGCGCAAATGCATCAAGTCACTGACAAGTGGACTGAGGCATGTTGGTAGGTGTAGACTACGTGGTTGGGATCCGCGAGATGATAGCAACCGATGGTTAGAGATCTTGAATGATATGGCTCAAAATCGTTTGGAATGGCGAAGTTGCATCCAATCTTTGTGTTCTCCCAAATTCTGATCTTCTGAATTCTTCACGTCTCTATCTTTTTTCTTTTTCAAATTTGTTTTGCTGGATTATACTCCTTGAGTAACATTTTCAACTCCTAATCTTTCCGATTACTGCTTATACTCCTACTACTTCTACCATTATGGGATTTGAATCGACAACTGTATCTCCGTGTTAATGTGGTATGGCAACTAAATGACTGATGTTTCCAATGATGGTCTTATTTTATTTATTTAAACACATAAATATTGGTACAAGGAAGCACCAGATAAATATGCGCCTCACAAATCTCATTTGATTTGTGTGAGGGCTGTCATACTGTCTAGGTGCCCAAACTTAGGGGGTCACACCCGGAGCCTTTGACCTGAATACTGATCCACAAGGCAGTGGAGCATCGTGAGGAGATGCAGTCCCATGGTAGCCGGTGATCAACGGTTGATTCGTACGCCATTTGTTCCGTCAGGATACTGGAGCCCATGTGCACCACTGGTTTGGAATCAGGGTTTTCCAACTCCCCTAGGTGAACTTACCGTGTCCACCAACCCGGTTAAAGCGCCGGACATTCGCTTTTCGTCCTCTCAATTTCGTACACAACACCCCCGCCACGAGAAGGCAGTGAGTAGGACTTCCCTGGCAGAGGCTATATATTCGCTGGCCATATGAGAGTATTTCGAGAGGGAGAGGTGACTCTCCCCACTCTCAGCCGTACCAGGGCATTTGGGGGCTTACATTGACTGATAAATTCAACTATAAAAATCACTACAATCTCCACAAACCCCCATTTTAAAAGTAAGATATTATTATTTTACAGTTATAACCATGATAATATTGAATAAAGTTAATAATAATAGTGACAGATTAGTGTAATTAGTTGACTCCCTCTCACACACCCACACCTAGTACAATGAAATCAAATAAGGTTGATCAATGTAGACATTTTAAAACAACCATAAGCATAAATCTATGAAACAATATAAACCAAGGTAATGTTATTTTAAAGGAATACACTTAGCTTCGTCAAAATAGTAAAACTGTTGATTAAAGGGATATCGTCAGTCAGTCATAACGTAGAACTTCGTACGTACATACATCAGTTCAAGTTGCCATACCACATTAACACAGAGTTGCAGTTGTCGATTCATATCCCATAATGGTAGAAGTAGTAAGAGTATAAGCATTATGTGAAAGATTAGGGTTTGAAGAAAGAGTTATTGGCTTTAAAGCCAACTGTGTGTAGTAGACACCAACAGGTTAGTTTGATTAACTTATTAAAGTTTGATGAGTACACTTTATGGGAAGGTTAAAATATTGGGACTAAAAGTATGTATATATAGATATCTGACAGTTACCAAGGCATGGTATTTTGTTTGATTTCTAATGAAATGATACATTTTAATGATCTAGAAAGAGAAACTGATCAGAAATCAAGTGATTGGATAAATGGTACCCATGCTTCATGGTCGAAAGTGAAATTCAAATTTCAATTCGTTATTTGAACATAAATTTTACAAAACTAATGAGGAACAGGTTCATCATATTACTGTTTGCTTGTAACTCGTTTTCTAAGAAGAGTATTTATATGCTCATCTTTGATTTACACTTAATGTGTAAATTCTAGTAATACTATGCGAATAGCTAAACTAAAGCAAATGAAATAAAGGTTGGAACTTTGATCTACTTTTTAGTTAATGTCGTCAAACTGTAGATATATATCGCCAGCTTCAATGACATTAAGAACGGTCATTATTAATTATAAAACCAATAACTTATCATCAATATAGAACGAATTCATTTCAAATTAACCGTAGTATAGAATCGAAGGTATTTAATGCGAATTATGAGTAACTTGAACAAATGACATATATTTGCATCAGATATCTGATTATTTGTATACGATGTGGACTCAAAGCTTGTTTATTTGACCGTAACGGGTGAAACTACGAAGCATGGAGCAAAGTGTGGTTTGAATTAATTTTATCATTGAATGTTGCAACCCGACTATTGGGCGTCTAGCATCTCATTTTGTGACAAAAATGTATTCCAAGAGAAAACGAATCACTTATCACATTTTAGATTTCAGTTGCCCCCAAATGCCTTGGTACAGTCGAGAGTGATGAGAGTCCACTCTCTGTCTCGAAATGTTCTCACATGGCCACACGTATATAACCACTGTCAGGGAAGTCCTACTCACTGCCTTCTCGAGGCATTACTGTTGTTTACGAAATTGAGATGACGAGAAGTGAATGTCCGGCGATTTAACCAGGTTGGTGGACATGGAAAGTTCACCTAGAGGAGTTGGAAAACCCTGATTCCAAACCAATGGTGCATATGGGCTGGCTCCAGCATCCTGAAAAAACAAATGGCGTATGAACCAGTCGTTGGTCACCGGCTACCATGGGACTACATTTCCTTAAGATGTTCCACTGCCTTGTGGACCAGATCTTTAGGCCAAAGGCTCCGGGTGTGGCCCCTAAGAAAACCACCTGCTTCGGTCTGGGCAGCGGGGAAGTATCACAGCCCTCACACAAATCAAATGAGATTTGTCTGGCGCATATATATTTGATGCCCCCCCCCTGTACCAATATTTATGTGTTTAATAAATAAATAAGATTTCAGTTAGAGAACTATTCAAAACCGAAATTCATAGAGCAGCTCTGTTTTATTCTAGGTATGGGAACTCTTTAGGATTACACAATCATGAACACACCAGAGATTGAATCTAGGACATCTAAATATTGCAGTGAGTGCTCATTTTTTTATACCACTGAGTTAACATCCAATGAATTTACCAAAATAAACTGAATGGGGGCGTTCGAATCAGGGACTTGGTGACTGAAAATATTAAAACATCTAAACCGCTAAGTCACCTTTTTCAACAAATTATTGGAAGAAATGATGTCAATCAAAATACATACAAGAATGATTAAAATAATGAAAAAACAAACAAACTATATCATACTTTTGATTGTTGTTCATTCTTATCTAAATTATCCAAATCATTTGATTTATCCTGTGTAAAACGTTCATTACTACTATTAGTCGTAAAAGTAGTAGTAGTAGTAGTAGTATCAGTAGTAGGAGTAGCAAAAGTATTATGATAATCTTTTAAATTATCATTCATCATTGAAGATGGATGTCTAGATGGTTGTGGAAGATAATTCATTTGTGATAAATTAGATATAGATTGATGTGGCTGTTGTTGAAAATGATATTCATTTGTAAATGATGTTTCATATTTTGTAGATAATAAACTTCTATTATTGGATGACTGAAAAAGAAAACAAGATTTAATTCAGTAAGACTATAAAATTTAACAATCATAATATTTACGAGGATTGTATTTTGAGAGAGAGTTTAGGTACCTACTTGTATAATAACACAGGCACATTAAACAGTTATCATCATTAGATTGAAGAATATCTGAAAGAATCGTTCGTCTTGTTACCTGAAAATCAAATTCCAAATGGTTCTACGAAAATACTGAATTACATTTCGAAATCGACTAAGGGATTAGCTTTAGAAAGTGAAAGAATGAGTTATACTCAAAATATCATTCGATATATAGCAGGAACTAATATAGACAAAAGTAGGTTACGTAGAACTTTTTGTGAGCCAAGTATTATCATAGACATAGGGGTTTTTTTGTGATAATGATCATATGCTCACTAGTGACTGGCTCCATGAAGTAATTCCTGGAGTTCTAGTGAGAAGTCGTGGCCAGTGGAGCTTATCCATGTCAGGTAGAGACAGGTATCTACCTCAGTACAATGGAAGTTGGTCGCGCAATTTCGTGGATTGGTTGAGGTTAGACATTAACACAGCTGGATGCCGGCTCAGTGGTCTATCGGTTAAGTGCTCTGGCGCGAGACTGGTAGGACGAAACGGCCTTCCAGTGCTTCCAGATCCTTAAACAGGATTGCTAGAAAAGAGCCCTCATCTAAGAGAATTGGAAAATACTGACATACATGGCCTTTGGAATCGTGAAGCAACACATCGAGTACGAGATTATGCTAGTTATCTAGTACCATGGGATTGCATCCCTTGACGTTGTTCTGCTACATTATAGACTAGACTTTTAAGTTGAAGGCTAAAGGAAAGATCTGGGAGAAACACCGTCTTCTGTCTGAACTCCTATACAGTATCCCAGCCTATAAGCACATGATTACAGTTACTAATATGATTATTCACAGGGTAATATTGGTGTTAGTACAATAAAAACTTACAGGATCCAATTGATCAACAGTCGTGGAATTTGTCATATTAACAGTATTATTTTCAGAATTACCGGATACTGTACGAGAACGAGACTGAATCTATTTAAAATAATTAAACAAAAAAAACAGCAGAGCACAACATTATTATAAAATTTAATTATTAAATAATATCAGCATGGGGATTTGTGGAGATTGCAGTATTTTAATAGTTGAATTCACGAATCAATCTAAGCTAGACCGCCATTGAAAACCTGGAAGCACTGGACGGCTGTTTCGTTCTAGTATACGACCTCTCAGTAGTGCACACCCATGATCTCACTCGAACCAGTGGAGTACAATCCGTGTCCAGTGTGAGACAGTTATCCACCTCAGACAATGGATAAAGGGTTGTGAAAGATCATGGATCGACTGAAGTTATACATATGTTATGTCCCGATAAGAATAATGAATGGTAACTTTTGGGATCAATTTATGGACCAATACTATGCATATATTTTTATCGTACAATTGTTAAATAACTAAACTATCCATATTTATGTCCTTTTTATTATGAGCTTTACTTTGAACTATGAACTACTAAAATACGATTTACCATTCTTCAGTTATGCCCTGTCCATCAATTACTACCTCCATTATTCGCAGCCACATTTGGCTAAATCTTGCACAAATGTTGTTTTCCTATTTTATGGTACGATATGGTCGGTTTGATTGGTATATAAACCCAGTATGCTTGAAATAAATGATTCATACTGGAGAGGCTGAAACTGGTGTTCAGGAATGAACTGGCTGGGCTAGGCAGAGAGCAGGACCGATAAGTACCCTAGACTGTTCGTACGGGTTTTATGCGTCATTGGCCCGATCGATAAATTACTGCTCTCTAATTGGCGGTATTATCACATTATACATTAACAAAGCATCCAGGCCGCAAGTTATAACAACATTAACGGCGTCGGATACCTGTTCAATAGTCTAGATGTTAAGCCTTTGCGCACGAGACAGAAGGTCGTAGGGCTGGAGCCCCACGTGCCGGATCATGGATGCGCATTGCTGAGGAATATTATACTAGGACAAAACAAACGTCCAGTGCTTCCAAGCATTCAATAATAATTCATCAATTAAAATCAAATTATATATATCGAAAGAAGAAAAAAAAGACTTACACTTTGAATATTTGCAAAATAATCAAATGGTTGCTGATTAGATAATGTAGAATAACCCAATGAATTATTATCATTATTTATTATTAGTTGTGAATCAGTTTGATGATTGATCGGCATAAATATAGAACTATTCATTTCATTCAATGTAGTTGTTACCGACGATGATGATGATGATTTTGAAACGGTTACTGATGATTGTAACATTGAATTCATTGACTGATTTGATTGTAAGGACATTGGATAATTTGACAATTGAATAGGTGAATTCATAGAATAATTATGTTGTATATGATCATTATGTTGAATAAAATTAGATGTTGAGTGAGAAGATAATTGATTATAGGGTTCTGATTGATACGAGTATTCATGAAGTGGTGCTGATGATAATGAAGATGGTGATTGTTGATTGAATGATTCGTGATTAAACAACTAGAAATATGAAAAAGATAAGTATAGTTAATATCATCCTATTGTGTCATTAAATGAAATATAAAGAGAATTCATCGACGAAGTCATTCACTTAAGTTGTACATTCGTATATTTATAGTTATTTGATAAATGTATAAGTAGAGGTTAATCATTCGCAAGCAATACTGAAGGTCCTGGGTTCGAGTCCCGCATATGGGATAATGTATGAGAAATTCTGAGGAGTCCCATACTGGGATGAAACGGCCATCCAGTGCTTCCGGGTTTCCAATGGTGGTTTAGCTTAGATTAACTTATGAATTCAGCTATTAAAATTATTAAAATCTCCACAAACCCCCATTCTGATCAAAATGTATAAGTATATAGAAGGATAGAAAAGGTGACATCATAAAAAGATTCAAGGTTTCCAAATAGTAAATGAGGTTACGTAATAATCACTTGGTTACGGAAGAATGGGAGGATGAGAATAATTTACAAGTTAGAATTATGAAAGATAATTGTCTTCTTCGATGAATTCTCTTTAAATTGATAGCTAGATCAATTAGTCAGTCATCTATAACGTAGAACCAGGTACATATATGCCCACAATCAGGCCTCATGGTAAACACTTTAACTTAAGACCACTGAATCCCAACTCAATAGTTTACATCTATAACTTCAATTAGTCCGGAATACTGCTCAGTCATCGTGATCATTATCATCAACCTTCACTGATATCAGTGAAATATTTATTTAACACACTGAAGGCGCATATTTTTATTCTGATTCTACTAAGAAGAGCTTAGGTTGTCTAAATTTTTTCCTTATTACATGTGAATTCTTTCTTTAAAGAATAACCTCGGTGACACTTTTCTAATGAATATTTCTACAATGATCATTTGCGAGGTCACTGAACATTTTACTAAACAAAAAGAATGGTTTCAATTAACATTTTGACTTCTGTCTGGAATATAAAGCTTTTATCCCCCAGTATTATATTTATTTATTTAAACATAAATATTGGTACAAGTGGGCACCAGATATATATGCGCAACACTAATCTCATTCGATTTGTGTGAGGGCTGTGATACTGTTCAGGTGCCCAAATTGAAGCAGGTGGTTTTCTTAGGGGGCCACACCACCAGCCTTTGACCTAAAGGTCTAATCCACAAGGCAGTGGAGCTATGTGAGGTGATTTAGTCCAATGGAGCTGGTGACTAACAATTGATTCATACGCCATTTGTTCCATCAGGATACTGAAACCCATGTTTCACCATTGGTTTGGAATGAGGGTGAACCTTTCGTGTCCCCCAACCCGATTAAAGCGCCAGACATTCGCTTCTCGTCATCTCAATTTCGTAAACAACACCCGTGGTGCGAGAAGGCAGTGAGTAGGATTTCCCTGGTAGAGGCTATATACGTGTGGCCCTATGAGAGCATTTCGAGAGAGGGAGAGCGGACTCTCCCCACTGTCGACCGTACCAGGGCAATGGGAGTGTGAACATTCTAAAGGTCACTCTAGTGTCACTCAAAGGTCGTTCATAGATTATAGGTCTCATTGAATTCTTTAATTTTTTTATAGAAAATAATAAATACTAACTTGTCTTTGATGAATAGATGATTGATTAGATAAATTCATTTTTTGATTAGAATCTACGAATTGATCATTTCTATTATTTCGTATAGAAGAATTTGAGATGATCTTTGGTTCATTATTATTATTATTACTATTATTAACTTCATGAGGAATATCCTTTTTATCATTTCTATTTGAATTGAAAATATTAACTTTACGTTGATCTCTGTTATCTGTTGATAAGAATGAAGAAGAATCAAGTGTTTGGGCATTAGATCTATGTTCAACGGATGGTTTATAATTTGATTCTTTGTTGAATTGATGATACTGACGTTGTTGTTGTTGTTGCTGTTGAAGTGGTTGTTGTTGTTGTTGTTGCTGCTGCTGCTGTTGAAGTGGTTGTGATGATTGATGATAATGACTAGGATCATTATGATCGGAATATTCTATAGCTTCATTAGCTTCATTAGTAAAACGAACATCTTTACTGGGATTTTCTCTTGATTTTACTACAGATGGTTTATAGCGTGGATGATCGATCTGAAAATAAAGATAAACAATCAACAGTTCAACTCAATATTATACATTATTATACACAAATTACTATAATTAGTAGAAATTAGGATTGGAAATATAAACACAAAACCGAAAACAAATATGACTACTTGTTAGCGGGAAATAAACCAGATTAAGGCACATTATATGCATGATCATGACGGCGCACACTGATTGGCTAATTCTAAACCAAACAGCTCAGTCAGATTATTAGAGAAGCATCTAAAAGTTTCTTATGTATATACTAAAAATATATGAACGTTTTTCTAACCATTGATTGCTGTTCACCTACACTTGTTATTTGGAATACAATTTCGTTCCTGTTCAACGTGTTCTAATTTTGGGGGTTTTGTCGAGTGTCACTGTATAAGAATACTAAGCAATAAGAGTAGCTGGGTTGTTTATTAGCAAAAAAATTATAACATTACTTTACCCAAAGTTTTCACAACATATCAATAAAATACCAGCTCAGTGGCCTAGAGATTAAGCGTTCGTGTACAAGACCGAAGGTCTTTGTTTAAAATCCTTTGTGCGGGATCATGGATGCTCACTGCTGACGAGTGCCATACTAGAATAAAATGGCCTTCCAGTGCTTCCAGGTTTTTCATTGTGATCTGACATTGATCGGTTGGTAATTTCAATTGAAATATGATGAATTTAACAAGATATGTATTAAACAAGTTAAAATAGTTGTAGTATCGATGATAGTAATGTGGTTTAGAGGTAACTTGAACCGAACAGATATGTTGTAACGTGCAATATCTGAGAGTTGATATTTATGCAGAACTTCTGATACCCAAACAAAATCTACTGTATGAATTAAAAGACTGAGGGTGAGAAAAGAAGTTGATTGGCTGACTGTCAAAAAAACAACTTTACAATTGTCGCTAATGAAATTAAACCTTTCAGTAGTTTATATCATCCTGGCAAAATCAAGACAATACATGGTCAATCATATACAATTTTCAGGTGACGATTTCTAACTCACTGTATTAATCTACTAGACTTTATGACTTATAACTTGCTGGAGCTTTGTTCACCAGTATTTCGAACGCATAGGGAATTTGTGCGTATATTCTAACTGTTATATCCCCTGGTGAATTATGGATCGTAAATCTGAGGTCTATTATCGATCAATGTATTATGCCTATTTCTTATTGTACAGTTGTTACGTAACTAAATTATTCATATTCGTGTTTTCTATTATTTTGATCTTTGATTTATGATCATACGATTCTTGAGTTATAATCAGTTTATTGATTACTTTGGTTTGTATAAAAACCCAGTATGCTTGTAAATAATGATTCATATTGCTGAGGCTGTTATTTGTGTTTTGGACTCAACTGGCTGGGCTAGGCAGTTAGGAAGGACCGAACAGCAATCAAGACTGCTCGTACGTATTTTCTGTATCATTGCACGTTTCATATACAATAACGATTGTTATACGAGATATAACAATTGGCGACGGGGATTCTGGAAAAAAATACAGCAACCCAAGACAGTTCGTACAATTTCAATCATCATTTGCGTGCGATCAATAAATTTACTCCTCTCTAATTTGGCGTTCATATAAATTACGGGCCCATACGTTATAACAACTGACGACGGGGTAAAAAAAAATGACTTTAACTTCCGATCAATTTCAGTTGCTAATTCAGAGACAAGAGCAGCGTTTTAAAAAGAGTCAGTTGGATTTCATTGACAAGTTACACGCGACGCTGCTGAATCACCCATGCTTTGGGGGTGCAACGGAAGTTGACGCATTGATTTCTAAATTGCGTACGGAACTGGAAGTCGATTACAGAACAAATGAATATGCAGAGGAAAGCCTCTATGAATCCGCGAAAAACAGTAATTTAGATGCAGCAGTAACAGTCCTACATGATCAGCCCAGTAGTCCGGTGCTGCCTGTTTCAGAAACGTGCCCGGTAGTGGATTCAAACACCACTATCCCTGAATTAGCAGGTCCGAACAGTGATGCTCCCAGCTCTCAGCAACATGATGCCATGTCAAATGCTCATGAAATTGCTGCAGTACCCGCCCACGAAGAAATGGGAAGCAAATCGAGCAGTATATTGAATGCAGAGGCGCCAAATGAAATTATTCATGATACGGAAAATTTTTCTAATGAATCTAATGATCAAAATTATCTAATTGTTCTGCCAGATCCCGATTATTTTACTGATTCATATGTTCCAGTTCAAATCTCTTATAAAAATGGGAGAAAAATATCGGATGCATTAAATGATAATCAAGAATCCAATACAAATTTCATAGATACTGATTATCCTAATGATTCATTATCTACTAATGAGGTTCCGAGTAAATTCAGGGAAACTGTTTCAGAAGAATCAGACGCTGGTGACCTCAAATCGAATGTCGTCGATCCTCACGATCTAATCAGTTCTGGCGGATTCTCTGTTAAATACGACGAATATGTTTTAAATAATGTCACAATAACGGTAACTTGGGTACATGAGGATCCAACAATCTTTCGTGGGGGAGGGTGAATTCGAGAAATTTAAAATCCGGATGTCAACTCCGGATTTCTCAAAAAGGGGAGGTGTTATATCCCCTGGTGAATTATGGATCGTAAATCTGAGGTCTATTATCGATCAATGTATTATGCCTATTTCTTATTGTACAGTTGTTACGTAACTAAATTATTCATATTCGTGTTTTCTATTATTTTGATCTTTGATTTATGATCATACGATTCTTGAGTTATAATCAGTTTATTGATTACTTTGGTTTGTATAAAAACCCAGTATGCTTGTAAATAATGATTCATATTTCCGAGGCTGTTATTTGTGTTCTGGACTTAACGGGCTGGGCTAGGCAGATAGGAAGGACCGAATAGCACCCAAGACTGCTCAGGGCATACGTTATAACACTAACATTCAAAAGTTATGTTGCATAGTCGTAAAGTAAAAAGAAGTGAACTGTTCCACATAAAAACCATACATCAAACTTGTATAAATCATGACTATTTCATAATTAGTGTAAATTGACAATGGTCAGTAGAGTTTCGCCTCTGCGGTGTTGTTTACGTAACTAAGATGACGAAAAATGAATATCCGATGCTTTAACTGGGATGATGGATACGGAGGATCCATCTAGAGAAGTTGGAAAACCACAATTCTAAACCAACGGTGTACATGGGATCCAGGATCCTGAACGGACAAATCGCGTATGAACCTATTGTTTGCCACTGGCTACCATAGGACTGTATTTCCTTACGTTGCTCCACTGTCTTGTGGATCAGACCTTTAGGTCGATCGATTGGATCCCCATTAACAGTCGGTTATGTGCTGTTAGATTAGAATGTTCCATCAAAGTGAGAAGAAACTGGCGTGAGAAACGGTGTCTTTTCGTCATCTCCGCCTATGCCCCGACAGATTGCAGCCCGGATGCAATCAAGGATGAGTTTTACCACCAGTTAACAGTTCTTCTCCAGAAAGCGCGTTCGACAGATATTGTAGTATTAGCCGGAGACTTGAATGCTCAGGTCGGGCGTCTAGGCACAGAAGAGAGTCGTTTAGGTGGCCGATGGGGACTTGTTGGTCGCAGGACAGATAACGGGGACCGTTTGCTGCAACTGTGCACAGACCACAACCTGTTTCTGGCTAGCACTAACTTCCGGCACAGTCATCGCCGGTGTGCCACCTGGCGTCCTCCTTCTGCATCCCAAGCCTGAACTCAGATTGATCACATCGCGATCAGCTACCGCTGGCGTGGTGGTGTACAAGACTGCCGCTTCTTTTGGAGTACCTATCTGGAGTCTGATCATGCCCTGGTCTGCGCCAATCTCACCTTACTTTTCAGTGGCCGAAGGATTGACCACCATCAACGGACCGATGTTAGTAAACTGGCTGCAACATCTGTTGTAAGTAAGTATCGAGCGGAGCTAGCCTCTAGGCTAGCTACCACCCCACCGAAAAGTATAGATGAGCATTGGTTGCTTCTTCACGACGCCATGAAAATGGCGAGTAAAGCCGCTTGCGGCTTCGCGAAACGTCCCGCTTTCAAGCACTGGGTTTCTTCTGGCTCCTTACAACTGATGGAAGCCCGTCGGTCTACTCCGGGTGACCGTGAGTTTGACCACAAACGAAGGCTGTTACGTAATGAAATCGGGCAAAGCTTGCGTAAGGACCGGGAAGCCTGGTGGTCGGAGCGTGCTAATGAGATGGAAGCAGCAGCTGCATCTGATAACTGCCGGAAGCTCTTCCAACTCATCCGAGCCACTGGCAGCAAGAAGTCTGGTGTGAGTGAAACAATCTACGAGGATGACGGGATGACAATCACTAACATCTGTCGACGTCTTGGACGATGGGCGGAATTTTTCGAAGGGCAGTTCAACTGGCCTGCTGCTCCGGCAACATCAACCAGCTTGTCCTGCTCCCCATGGCCGGTGACAACTGATCCACCAAACGAGGCGGAAGTCCGCAAGGAACTCCAACTCTTGAAACGTTTCAAATCACCGGGCCCAGATGACTTACCTCCGGCTCTTTTTAAAGATGGTGGTGACTTTCTGACTAAGGAACTGACTGTGTTGTTTACAAAGGTTTGGTAGCAAGAAAGTGTTCCAACATCATGGAATGAGTCGGTAGTCGTCCCTATCTTTAAAAAGGGTTCACGTTGTTCCTGTAACAACTATCGGGGGATAAGTCTACTTCCGATTGCGTCCAAACTATTGGCTTCTATCATTCTTCGTAGGTTGGCAATCAGTGTCCGCAGGTACGGCATATGCTTTGCACCCTCCAAGTGCAAAGTACTCCTACAATACTGGCAGGATTCTCATCCTGTACTCACTCTGGATGGTGAGGAGATCGAAGTAGTTGAGAAGTTCGTGTATCTAGGTAGCTATATAAGTGCTGGTGGCGGCGTGAGTGATGAGATTGATGCACGTATAATGAAAGCCAGAGCGGCTTATGCCAATCTGGGCCATCTTTGGCGCCTTCGTGATGTTGATCTGGCTGTAAAAGGTCGGATCCACAACGCGTCGGTGAGAGCAGTTTTGCTCTATGCTTGTGAAACCTGGCCTCTCCGAGTTGAGGATGTTAGACGTCTCTCTGTGTTCGATCATCGTTCTCTCCGAAGGATTGCTGACATCCAGTGGCAACACCATGTTAGTAATGCAGAGGTTCGGCATCGTGTGTTCGGGCTCAGAGACGACAATCCAATTGGTGTCACCATCTTGAAACACCGGCTTCGGTGGCTTGGACATGTTTTACGAATGTCGTCTCAGAGACTTCCACGTCGTGCATTATTTGCCGACTGTGGGACTGGTTGGAAAAAGCGGAGAGGAGGTCAGTGTATGACATGGTGTCGTGGCATGAAAGAGAGCTGCAAAGGGCTAGCTTCTGTTGGTCCTTCACGACTCCCCGGCTGGGGTCCGAGAGATCGTGCAACACAGTGGTTAGAGACGTTATCAGATATGGCTCAGAATAGAAGCCAGTGGCGATCCTGCTGCAACCTTCTTTTACTTTCTACATAAAGTGTGGTTCTAACTTTCCTAACTGAAAGTGTCTTCTGGTTGTACATTTTAGTCCGCGTTATCTTTTCATCCTTTCTCTTCCTACTTTCATTATTTTGTGTGGCGCATATGTATCTGGTGCCCTTTTGTACCAATATATATGTGTTTAAATATAAATATAAATAAAAATTAGGTCGAAGGCTCCGGGTGTGGCCTCCTAAGAAAACTCCCTGCTTCGGTTTGGGCATACGTGTAGTATTCTAGCCCTCACATAAATCGAATAATGAAGTGTGGCGCATATCTATTTGGTCAGTCAGTCAGTTGAGTTGCTATACCATATTAGCACAGAGATGCAGTTGTCGATTCAAATCCCATAGTGGTAGATATAGTAAGAGTATAAGCAGTAATCCTAAATATTAGGGTTTGAAGATGTTATTCAAGGAGTATAATCCAGCAAAACAAATTTGAATAGAGAAAAAAAAGGGCCCGAAGAGTTTAGAAGATTAGAATTTGGAAGAACATAAAGAGTGGATGCAACTTCACCATTGCAAACGATTTTGAGCCATGTCATTTAAAATCTCTAACCATCGGTTGCCATCATCTCGCAGATCCCAACGAGATAGTCTACACCTACCAACATGTCTCATTCCACTTGTTAGTGGCTTCATGGATTTGTGCCATGTGTTTGGTCTGACCGCCCCTAGCTTTCTTTCAACCTACTCCTACACCATAAAACATCGCAGTCGGTGGTTGATTTGATTTCATGGTTCAACACAAACATATTGACTCCAAATCATAAAAAAACAAACCAACCAAAAAACAAATACACTTAATACCTTTTGATTCATTTGATTAAAGATTTGATTTAATCGTTCAATCCAATTTTTATTTTTATTTTGTACAGGCATAGAATATGATGAATTTTTAAATTGAAATCCAAAATTATAATCATCCATTAATTGACTATTCGTTGATGATTGTAACAGATCGAAGCTTTCAATTTCTGGATGATATTGTAATGGTTCAGCTAATCGTAGACAATTATTAATTAAACTATACAATAATGGATCAACATATGTATTATTATTATGATCATTGTTACAAACGAATGGATGTTTAAGTTGATATATTCCTTCATCAAATTCAGTAAGAATCTCATTCCCGATAGCTGTTAAATAACGATAAGCTTTTTCAATAAAACCAGCATCCAAAAGTCGTATAGCATAAACAAGACGAAAAGGCTTGAAAAGAAAAATTATAGATGAAAGTGTCAATTTTAAAATGGAAGACTTTTTTCTTAAAAAAAAAACTTGTTTACTGGGTGTACAAATTCATGTATTTGACTACGAGTCACACTTCAAATATGTATGTGTGAGTGAGTGAGTGAGTGAGTGAGTGAGTGAGTGAGTGAGTGAGTGAGTGAGTGAGTGAGTGAGTGAGTGAGTGAGTGAGTGAGTGAGTGAGTGAGTGAGTGAGTGAGTGAGTGAGTGAGTGAGTGAGTGAGGGCTAATGATGCTAGATCCAAAGTGGGATTCAAACCTGGTTGAGAATTCGATGCTTTAGCCTTAATGAACCACTTATTTAGTAAGGTTTATGGCAAAGACCCTGAAGAAACTGTTTACCGATAATATTGATTAGTTGGGGTAATGTAGTCTTCTTATGCAATGATATACACAGGTAACATAGATCACTTTCAATCAGTTGGCAAGTAGTGTTGGTATGACATATATCTCTCACTACATAGGAAAGTCTGTACATCTGGATACTTTTGTAAATGTTGGCAGTCATACTGTAGTGAAAAAGATAAATCAATTTGTGATGAGAAGGATAGTGGTGATTTGCATTAATCTGAGCCCCCCCCCTCCAGTGGGGATCGCCAGAAACGCAAAACTTGTTATGAAAGAAATCGATGTTCCCTATTCGATTTCTTAAGAATTGTTTGCCTTTCTGAGCTACTATCAGTCAATGATTTCATTGTTATCTCCTAAGAGTAGTTCACATTCTGTGTTGAGGGGTGAAAAAAAATTTTTTTTCTATTGTAGACATGATAATTTGCGAAGTGTTAGTAAGTGTGATTACCATTTTAAAACAGTGGCTTCAGTGATGGTTACGTTTTACACATTTCGTCCGAGAGATTTTCATAATGGGAATTATTTGCAAACCCTAAGGCTTGATAGACAATTGATGACTCAGCACCACCGAATAGAGCATAGTTACGTTGGATTCGTAACGACAGTGATTGTGGTCTCAGGTCCAGTACAATGTAATGAGTCGAAAAGTTATCAAACACGAATTGGGAAAGTCAGTGGCGATTCTGCTGTAATTTTCTATAGTAAGATCAATGGTACTGTAGTGAACGAGAACACAAGTGGGAACAATCGAATGTATTTGAACTCAAAATGACAGAACGTCTTGGTAAAGTTTGAGAACCATACAGTAAATTCTTCATTTGCAAAGTGTCAATCAATTGTCTCAAACTTGACTGCTGCTTTTGAAAATATCAGTCAATCGTCTCAGACTTCATTGTTCCTGCATTTCCACACCAATTGCTTTCTGTTTCCATTTTTTCCTTCTCGATCTTCCCAACCTTCTGCTTCCAGACATTATATTCCTGACTAGTGTTACATACTACTTATGTTGATATAAATAGCACACACCACAGTACTTAATGTTGGTTTGACGTTATCAAATGACTTTCCATCTTTTTTTGCATAATATTGTGATTCTGTCTTATATGGCGCATCTGTTAACCAAACAAAACTCATTGAATAAAATTCGAACATACTAATCACTTAAACCATTTGTATTAGTTGTTTAAATTTTCTCATTAATGTTATGGGCTTCAATCAATAAGCCTCTTTTAGCATATATGTATCTTGTGCTGAACGCATCGATATTGCCACTAAGTTACAATTATTTTAAGTAGAGTTGGAATGATGGCTAGAACTGGAAGCCAGGAAGCATCCTTCGTCCTACTTAATACTCATCAGCTGAATGTACCTGGACTCCAATGTTGATACTTATCACATCGAGACTCGAATCCAGTACTTTTCGTTTCAAACGCCCAACCCGTTATTCATTTGGTTACTGGATCCAGATAATCGCTGGCATATGAGACGATATGAATTTTAACTGATTCGCATTGGTTGTTTGAGTCCTCTCATTGATTTCAGTATAATTGTAGACACTTAAATAAAATTTCAATTTTCACTCCATACTATGTATTTACCAGCAATGATGGTATTAAGCAAAACTCAGTATGTATGTACATAAATGTGAATGAAACTACTCAACTGTTCAAACCAAATTTGACAACTATGTGGGATTCAAACCATGGACCTGATGATAGGAAATTGAGTATTTTGATCAATATGATCTATCGTTATATTTCTAGTTAATAGATAACATTGAATACAACTAAACATACCATTAATTGACGTAGATGAAATTTACGGTTAGCCAATTGAATAGAATATTCATATATTTCAGTGAGTTGAATAGCTTCTGAAGTAGCGAACAATGGAGATAAAATATGATTTGACGCAATATTATCCTCCTGGAATTCATCGGAAATATTGTTAATAACATCACCGCCACTGGTAATGTGATTAGGAGGGACACCAATTAACCAGATTTTACCAGGTAAACGAAATTCCCTCTGTTTATCATCAATATTTTTCAATGAATTCATCAGTAAATAGCATAAGTGTGCAGCATAAACATGTTTTCGTGATAGTAAACCATCACCAAGACGTTCCAAGGCTAAAAGTGATAAATCGGATTGTGATGAGTGACCAGCCAATATCATAGCTAAATGCGGTCTCCAATCACCATTATCTATGCCTAGAGGAATGATATACAATAGAGAAAAAAAGTAAATTTAATTCACAATATAATTTAAACGAAAAAAACAATTGGACATAAGGTATGTGGGAGATTCAAATCGCATTATAAGTATGAGAATGCATATCTGTACGAAGACAATTTTTCGTAGAGGCTAAAGAGAATCATTAAAGACAAAGACAAAATTGTGAGGAGTGATCAGCCACTCTATGTAATCGAAATACTGGTGTGGGTGGCCTGGTGGTTAAGTTGTTCGACTATTAACCACCACGTTGTATCTTAGAGATTCTCCCTACACACTATGGCTAGGGCAGCCGTATATCACTAGCCCTCACATACAAGGTGTGACTCAGAGCCATGTAAACCAACCTGTACTTAGTAAATGAGTTACATTACAAAGGTATTACGCTCCTAATCTCTTTGAGACGACCAAATCTTATCAATCACGTTTCTGAAGTGGTCCTTAGACCATATTAAGTGATTTAGCAACAACCGCAGTGTCCTTTCGTAGATCAATGTCAGCTAACAGGAAGCAAGAGGCTTAGAAAGCCCTCACGATTTCATACTGGTTGGCAGCAACCTTGAAAGAACTTATGGTTTCCCTCTACAGATTTTGAACCCGAGATTAGTTTTATCTTCCAAATAAATTCAATCTACAGTTGACCACACGAAGCTTGCCAATACCACTGAATTATATCTTTTACTTGTGTTTCATCGGTTGATTTTAGCTCTACAAGATTTTTTACTGTAAAGGTAGGCTTCAGTGTTACCGCTCTGGTGGCTCTACACGCCAAATCAACGCAAGACAGCAGATTCCTGAAAATAATTTGTGAACTAGCTGGAGAGAACAGTAAAACTAACCGCCATGTTTGGATCTGAACAAAATAAAAGATATAAGGATATAGATTAGATCAAAGGGTGTTCCGCGCAGGATTGTGTTAATGTACGCTGATTGACTATTTCTTAACCAGTCAGCGGAAGCGCATACTTCGAGAAGACACTAGAATCTTTTTTATGTAAAAATTATAAATATACAAATGTTCTTTTCTTATTGTAATTCCTACTTCCATTCAACCTTGTTTATTTGGAGCATAATTGCGTTCCTGTTCAACCGCGTTCTCATTTGGGGACTTATCGAGTGAAGTAGTTCCAAAGAATACTGAGCAATAAGAGTAGTTGGGTCGTTATAAGAAAAACCATAACACTAAGAAATACTGCAATAAACATAATAGCTAATAAATGTATTAAGATCAGCCTTTTCCAAAATATTTACAACGTAAATGCAAAATGAATCCACTGTTTACCTCGTCCATAAGCCGCTGTATTAATAGATTGTGGCATTTCTCCAGCAGTTAATTGATACAATGTAAGAATAGGATCCGATAATGATATATCATTATTTAGAAAACGATCCATTACTTTAGCAAATGTTGAAGGACCCATCCGATGAGCCAATGTAAATGCATGACCCCATAGTTTAGAACGACAAGCATGTTCTAACGCTTTCATTGGTAAGCCATGCATTAACAACTATTTTTGGGGGGAAAAAATTCATACATATATATTGGCAATATAGGACAGAAAAGTATTGAAAAATATAATTGAGGTTGACCATAACTTCTACAATTTTCAAAAATTGTCCTATGTTCATCATGGAATACCAACCTAGGGAAGTGGGAAAACCACGATTCCAAACTGATGGTGTACATGGGATCCAGGATCCTGAGGGAAAAAATGTCATATGAACCTATTGTTGGTCACCGGCTACCATGAGACTGCATCTTCTTACGTTACACCACTACCTTGTAGATTAAACCTCTAGGTGAAAGGCTTGGGGAGCGGTCACCTACAAAAACCACCTGCTTCGGTTTGGATGTCAGGGAAGTATTTTAGCCCTCACATAAATCGAATGATGAAGTGTGACGCGCATGTATTTAGTGCCTCCTATCAATGTTTATGTGTTTAAATAAATAATTAATAGTAAAACTCATTACTTTTGGGCATTTCCACCCCCTATTAAGTGAGTGAGAAATAAATTTTAAAGTAATTTTTAATAGAGATTTTATTACAATCCCAAATTCAGGATAATTTAGGAGGTGAACTACATAAATACACTTTTTAGATTTATACGCTTAACACCATGGATGGTAAGATTTAAGTTTGTTAGAACTCAACATTATAGATTTTTACTCATCAGCAAAGGCTCCGGGTGTGGCCCTCTAAGAAAACCACCTGCTTCAGTTTGGGCACCTGGGCAGTATCACAGCCCTTACACAAATCAAATGAGATTTTTGTGGTACATATATCTGGTGCCCCCTTGTACCAATATTTATGTGTTTAAATAAATAAATAAACCATACCAGCAGCACTGAGAATCCATGAGATAAGGAAGAGTGTGTCCTTTTTATTACAGATATTTTTCAACATCATTCGTAAATTGGAGGGAATTATAGCTAAAGATAGTAGTTACTGAAAGGAAAACTCAGTAATCTGTTTTTGACGTTGGTCTTGAACTCAAAATATGTTGCTTTTAGCCTAACCGCCATTCGACTGACCTGGGTGGTACGATATGATCTTAAAAAGAAATGTTTCAAGCAATAATAACTCAGTTAGGTCATGACGATGGACGAACCGGTCTATCTCATTAAAAAAGCAGCTACGGTTCGGTATATTCGTCGGTTCTGCTATAACATTATGTACAACTACAGAAACGATATTACACTATAAAAAAGTTCATTGAAAAACGCTAATAATCTACCAATCTGAGAACGAATAACTTACGTTACAACATTATATGCGATAAACATATCGAGCATGTTACTCGAAACATCATCGTAAGAATTAGTAGATAAATTTAAACAAGTTAATTACTGGGTCGATGGCTTAGTGGTTAAGGCGTTCGACTTTTAGTCTCCAGAACACTGGTTCGAACTCTAATCCAGCTACTTCGGTTTGGGCAACAGGATAGAGTTACTAGCCCTGACAATTAAAAGCGTGGCTGATTCCTAAGTACCTGGTGAGTGAGTTAGATAAATCGTTTTGGATTATTAATATGTAATTATTTATGTTGTCATTACTTATACGTAAGGTTCATTGATACATCTTATTTATTTAAACACATGAACATTAGTACAAAAAAGGCACCAAACTATATACGCGCCACACAAGTTATCATTAAATTTGTGTGAGCCTGGATACAATCTGGGTGCCTAAGCCGAAACAGGTGATTTCCTTAGGGGGCTACTCCTCCCAGTCTTTCACGTAAAGGCCTAATACAGAACACAGTGGGGCAACGTCAAGAGATGTGGTCTCATGACAGCCAGTGACCAACAATAGTTTCATACGCCGTTTGTTCCTCCATGATCCTGGAGCCCATGTGCACCATTGGTTTGGAATTGTGGTTTCCTAACTTTCCTAGGTGGATGCTCCGTGCCCATCAATCCGGTTTAAGCACAACACCTTCCGTCCTTTCCGTCCTCTTAATTTCGTAAACAAACCCCTGCCACTAAAAGGCAGTGAACAGAACTTCCCTGATAGTGGCTATATACGCATGGCCATATGAGCATATCGAGAGAGAGTGGAATCCCCCCACCCTTGGCCGTACCAGGGTATTTGAAGATCTTAATTGAAATAACTTTGGATAATAAGGCTGAACAGTCAACCATCTTTACACGTGTCTAATACATGTATCTGTGTGCACTTCACGAATGGTGTTAACTTTTAATACGGTCATAACCAAGATTTTTTCATTGACACGGACATAACTACAAATCAATTAGTGAAAATCTTAACGTAGATAAAGAATGAGATGTATTTATGGTCCAGTATTCGGTTCATTAGTAACCATTCGGTCAATGGAACCGATGACCGAAAAGTACAAGAAACCATAACACCTCGGATGCTTTTATCAACATAGGACAGTCAGCTGAAAAAACTTCATAACCCTAACTGAAATCATTAATCCACTTGTTCAATCCGTTATCTCCACTGACAATTCGAAATACTTCATGGACTTCTTGAGTTATTTTTCTCATGTTTTACCTAAACACTAAGCAGTTCAGTTCACGTACTTATTGAACAGGCTCTGTACAAAGATATTATCTACTGTAGTACTTACTTCACGAAAACGATCCAGAAGTTTGCCTTCCGACTCCTGGCTGCGCAATCCCCTTTCACCTATATGAACTCCTCCCATACGTCGAATAATATTTTGAACAGAACTCATCCTTCCAGTTTCTGAAGCTGCCTTGCTGTGTTGTAATAAACTACTTCCATAGTCTATTTTGAAATGTGATTCAGGACTTTCTCGACCACTTGTAACTTGACTTCCAGGTAACGAAGCTAACGATTCGTTTATATATTCTCCAACCTGATGATTATAATTGTTTAAAGTACCTGTATATTGTACAGGTACCTGAACTCCTAGATAAGAACTAGAAGAATACCCATAGGAACCACTCCTAAAACTATCGGTAGTTGGCTTGTGTCCTTCCAGTAAAAGATTTACAAGATCTGATATCTGCAGATTCTGTGGAATAAGAAAATGTAGAGGATATTTGTGGTATTGAAATGTAAGAAAATATCAATTCAATTTCCATCTAAAACACTACCACCAGACAGAGAGTATATTACTCAACTAAATATAAAAAGTCATTTCACATTTAACACGTAGGCTCTGCACCATTAAATATTAAGACTTAAAAATAACTTAAATAGAGAGCTCTTACTAATTGCCGGTGAAATTGTCACCAGTATGGTGGATATGCATGACTACAAGTTAAAAGGTGTCAATTAAGATATGTATTAGTCCCACTATATATATATATATATATATATAATACATTAGAATACATGTGTTGCTTTACGTAGATTAGATGGAATGTAGCTAACAGTGGAATCCAAGATCGGCATTTCATCTTATTTGTGACTAATCACATGGATGTACCTGCACCTCAAATTCGATACTGAGATTTGAAAGTAGTGCTTTTCGCTTAAAACACCAATGAGCTAACCACTTAGCTACTGACTCTAGATAGTTACGGATTTTATTATTTTAATCAAAGCAGATGTGGTTTTTCTCTGACTAATTATTGTTCATGTATCCTTCTACAATCCAAAAAACAAAATGGTTCAGATAACAGTTCTCTTTTCGGTTAATTCATTTCCAAATATCTACAATCACGAATGTCTAAATGCTTTTCGATGTTTTCAATCAGTGTATTCCGTTGATTCTAAAAAGTGTTCATAATATGTGGATCACTAAACAAAGCTACGTTAAGGCTTCCTGCATGTCCATAATTCAGTGTTTTCTCTCAATTTTTTAGGATTGAATTTCTCTTCCAGCTGGTAATTGGGTGGGAATATCAATCATCTTTTAATACTGTTATAGTTAAGACTACTTATATCTCTTTTGAGGAAAATCTGATGCTCATAATTGAATTGAGTCAATACGAAACCAGACTGTAATGGAATTTCTATTTTTTTTCAAATGAATCTAATTTGACCAATGACAATATAGATCACTTATCAATTCCAAAGAACATAGTATATACTTTGTTGGAAAAAAACGGTTGCATTCGTTATTTTAAACAGTTGACAGATGATACTGGAAGTTTGTGAATAAAATTAATGGGTAACAGACGTTTGGATTTTTTTCAAGGAATTTTATACGTAAGTCTTTGGTAATTTATATTAGTGAAGGAAAACGACCACTGTTTATATGGGTGAAACTTCTAAAAAGAGAGGTATTGAATGGTACCCTAACAAGGAAGTATAGTACCGTTTTATACGATGAATCAACGGTTATAACAAGAAAGGCCTAAAAACGAAGAATAAACGAACTCAGGTTAAGATGATACTTATTTTACAGGGTTGTTAACAACTACAACTTACAGAACAAGTTGTATATGTTTTCTCGTTGATGTATCTAAAAGGAACTAAGCATTTCACTAGGATACTACAAACGTTACTATGCGTTAACAGATCTACTATATTTATTCCTGACGACTAAACTGAAAGTAAACACAATAATAATATTTCATGAAATTGGCACCCTTTACGAATCTGAATGAAGTTAAAACAACAATTAAGGCATAGCTATATGAGTTAAATACATTTCGTGATTTCTCATCAGCTGCTTACAACCATTGATACGTATTAAAGTGTAGCATTGAGGTATGATGTAGTGTGAAACAACTGACATTGACGACGGAAGGAATTAGAACGACAAACATCATCTGTAACAATAATGGTAGTAATAATAATAATATCTGTGAATGAACGGATGCGAGATCACTTAAAGCCCGAATTCAACAAACAGGGGGATGAAGTAGTAATTAAATGAAATCTGGAAACAGATAAGACGATTCGACCTTTAAGTGATATCACATCCGTTCATTTACAGATACTATTATTATTATTACTACCATTATTGTTACAGATGATGTTTGTCGTTCTAATTCCTTCCGTCGTCAATGTCAATTGTTTCACACTACATCATACCTCAATCCTACACTTTAATACGTATCAATGGTTGTAAGCAGCTGATGAGAAATCACGAAATGTATTTAATTCATATAGTTATGTTGTTTAGGTCCTATACAATGACAATAGAATAAAATTAAATCAAGATCACAATTTGAAACGTCAACTTACACCATTATTTTTAACCAAGGTTTCAAGGAACATTAGTAGTAGGCCAGCAGATTCCCAATCGATAGGTAGGCGATCTTGAATTTCCGTAAGCTTTTCACGTAAGAAAGCAAGTACGTCGGCTTTCAGAGTACCTACACGATTTAATGGTCCTGGATAAACCTGATGCTCCGCTTGATTCCAACATGCAGCAGCCATGACACAGGCACGTATTTCTTCACCATCGTCTTCAGCACCTCCAACGTCAATACTAGAGAGTTGACTTGGTGTTTGCATTCCGGAATCAGTTATATTAAAAAGAGTATTTTGTTCGGATGGTTGTTGTTGGCTAAATTCAGAGTCGCAAGTGTGTGCAGTGTTGTCTGATGCTCTTCTCTTTGCATCAGCCACAGCTTCATTGACAAGCTCAAACAGATTAATTATTTCAACTCTAGCAAATTCTCCATTCCTTGGCCTTGAAGGTAAAACCTAAAAAAGGTATAATTTAGTTATTAGCTAAATATATGATAACTAACTTGAACAATAACGCCAGGACAACTAATCCAAGCCTTTATATGTGGAGTATTGTAAAAATGTGGAGTTTCAGGAATACCTGTTCCGAAAAATTGATATGGATGACCACCAGACCAAAATTGTGCAGCTGCAGCGTAACATTGATAGTAATAGTTTGCATAGTCAAATGGTACTGTTTGATTTACAGATGGTACTTGAAATCCTTCAGGTCCATGTTTTATAGTAGGATTAAGTGTATGACTTGCAGGGGTTTTCGATGACTTATTCGTAGAAAGGCGAGCGGTAGATTGTTGAGGTAGCACCTGTGGCGGGGCGATTTGATACGCTGGATAAAATTGGCTGTAGTACTGCAACATAATCTGATGCCACTGAGCAAAAGGATCGAATTCTGTTTGTAAAATAAAGAGGTGTTGGTTGGAATGAATCTGTAAAATTCGATTGTTATAAGATAATACAGACTAACAGATATTTAGGTATTTTTTAGGTTAGAAACATAGAAGCTAAAATACTGAGATGATACCTGAGCTGTTGTATTGGATAGGGGTCCGTTTAAAACATTAACGCAGCGATTGCTTATTGGTTGGTGTCCAGTTTTGAATCAATCGGTTAACGGTCTGACTGCTGAGGGACGGGGCAGTATTACTAGTCCTCACGGTCTAAGACGAATAAGTAGACATTTACTTAGTAGATGAGTTATTAAATAAAAACAAGCAATACTCAAAATGCGATTAAAACAGGCTAAAGTGACTGTATGTATTAGCACAGCTTTTACTAATAATTAGTAGTGAACAGAGTAACCCGGTGAATAAGATTTCACGAAAGTAGACCATTACGTGAATACGTACTTACTATACAAATTGTGACGCCCTCTGAATTCCGAGACGGTTTCACAGCTTAATCTCCATTTACTTTTACATTTGGAAGCCATGGAGCCTAACATGATAAATTAGTAGAGCACTGATCTATTATTCGACACTAAGTTTATCGCAATGTTATGGGAGTAAGCCAATGGTATTTAAACCGTTTACACGAACTCAAGAAAGGTTGACAGACTTGTCTTTAGCACATGAACTGAGAACTCAATGGCATTTTGAAAAACAGTGTGTAATTTAATCGCAGAAATCAAAAACAGTGAATAAGTATAAAAATCATAAGTCAGTCAAAAATTAAAACTTACGTTGTACATCCTTACTGGAAGATTCGGTGGACACTTCTTGATGGGTTGTTTTGGTTCTAGACTTGGAATGAATTTTCTGAGTACTTCTACTAGATGTAAGTGTTTGCTGAGGTAACTTGGGTCGATGAGCCGAACGACTGACTTTTCCTATTTTTGGAGGTATTGCATTGTCGTTTTTCGATAGTCCTGCTCCCTGAAGTGCATTATCAACGCTATTGGCCAAAGACTCTGGTTTGCAGCCAGAACTGGGTGAACTGTTTACAATATTCTTGTTATTTGTACTATAGTTTCCACTTATTGAAGAATTAACGGGAAAATCTGTAGGCTCTTCGAACTTAACACCTAGTTCAGGGTGAGAATTGGAGGCAGGAAATGTACTTATAGGCGGTTGTTCGGTATCCTGGTTTGAGCTAAAGTTTGGTGGATTATTGAAGGGATTATGATCATAATCGACATAGGAACTTTGCATTTGATCGTGATTTACAGGATATCCCCCATAATACGTCATTTGAGGAGAACTCATTGCCTGAGGTGTTCCATCTCTATCTCTGCTACTAAATGATTGGAAGTTGTCGTAAATACCTTGTTTTTTGTCCTTGTTCCATTATTCGTGACGTCGACAGCTTCAAAACCAACACTTCTATCTCAGTGTTCAATGTCAGTTCTGGTGAACCAAGGTCAGTAAGCCTTGCGGAAGGTCGTATAACAGCAATTAATTTTTCGTACTGCACGTACTATGATGGTGAAGCCCTATATAAGGAATATATGGGGAAATTGGCAATGTAAGTGGTAAAAAAATGGAATGTTGATGTGATGATTCAGCTTATATTCTAGAACGCGCGCTATTTAAAAAGGACAGTGATATTGTTTCTGGTAGAGTTAGATTCACTGTTTTGATCCCAAACTACGCATCAAAACTACAGTTTGCACTAAAATTGCATTTGTTTCAGTTAAAGTGATATTGGATTTGTTTGTTTTGATCTTGCGTTTGTTAATTTACTGAGTCAAAGCACTCTTGATCGACTTTTGCTTGATTTATTTGATCAAGGTTGGAGATTAGTCTTACACATCCATTTCGTTTACTATTTTAGCTTATTTTTAAGATTTTAGGCCTTGCTCACATGTGTAAACAGCCAGATTGCTTATTCCCTGTTGAAGGAAGGCAGTGTGATGAATGTAAGAAGTGGTTCCATAAAATGTGCACCCGCTTAAGTCTCACTGCCTATAAAGGGTGCTCAAAGCCTAATTCTCATTGGCTCTGTATGTTTTGTTGTTCGAACGATACATCACTCATTCAAGAAGCAATTAACCTTCTCGAATTAGGTAACAAAAAGGTTGACGAAGGTTGTACCGGTGACATGGGTACTGATAACGAAGAATTTGTCCGTGTCGTAAGTGCTGTCACGGCACGTGCCAGACACCCAACTGCGCAGCACGAGACAGAGCTTTTTACCCCGAAACAGTTAATGAGCGATTCACCATTAGATATTGGTGGCCAAGTAGCCACCGCAGCGACTGATGATCCGAATAGAACCATTATCGTCCCGAGTAGTTCTAATCTGGATGCTGCGATTGATGGGAAATGGATGACGCGGAAGAAAGGATAGCCGAAGAATGCGCTCATTTAGTTGAAAAGTCCCTGTTCCACTCACATTCTGCTTGTCAGATTACTCCGCTAAAGTCTGAAAGTAAGACAATATTTAGCCTTTTCGTAGATGATAGGGTTATAAGTCACAGTGGAGGAGGCATAATGTTATATGTTGGGGACAACTTTCGCATACAATCAATCATATCGGAGGCACACGTAAGTGGCACATGTGAGGTAGCATGTTGTACAATTAAGTCTAGAAAAAGGGTTAGTGACTATAGGGGGAATATATCATAGTCCGTGTCCGTCATTGGAGACTTCAACGCACCCCATATCAACTGGATAGAGCTCACAGCTTCGGGTGGGGGGTTCGATAGCGACCTTCTATCAACAATCACCCATTGTGCACTTGTACAATATAATTCCGCCTGTAGCACCTCCGGGGGCTATTACCGGTCCTAAGCCTGGATAAAGAAGGAGGGTTGGGCATGGGGTTAGCGACCCCATCCCGTTGAAAACTAACTCGCTAAAAAACGCCAACCAGAAAAAATAATTCAAACCATTTAAACTCTGCCCTGGGAGTTGAAGGAAGAATTACGGCGTCTCATGATGAAAGCCAAGCCCCTTCGGAAGCCGCGAGGCCGATTCCCCTTCTAACAAACAGAGCCACAATTTTTATAGGTACATGGAACTTCCAGACAATTTGGTAGACCGGGAGTGTCTCTAAATTGCTGCAGACATGAGGTAATACAGCCTGGGGGTGCTTGGGATCAGTGAAACACATTGGACGCAGGTTGAACAACAACGACTAGCTTCAGAGGAGCTTCTGTTATACTCCGGTCATAAAGGAGAAAATGATGACAATGAAGTCGTTTAAGACCAATTCTACGACAGGTCGATCGTCGAGAAGTGCTCAACAAAGGACGTGACCATTCTGATTAGAGATTTAAATGCCAAGGTTGAAGTGAACAAAGCCGGATATGAAGACATCATGGGACGACATAGACTGGGAGAAAAGAACGAAAATGGTGAGAGATTTGCAAACCTATGTCTCTAATAAACTGGTCATTGGCGGTACTATATTCCCACACAAAAACACATGAACTTCACCGGATCACACAACGCACAACCACATTAACCATATCTGAATCAACAACAAAAAGTTCAGGAGGACGATGGAGGATGTGAGAACCAGGAGAGGAGCTGATATGGCATCATATCATCACTTGCTGGTCGCCAAGATTAAATTAAAACTTAAGAAGCACTAGACAATGGGGCGGACAACATCACAAAAGTTTAATATGGCTTTTCTTCGGGATACTGACAAACAACAAATTCAAGATAGCCCTCAGCAACAAGTCCCAGGCCCTTCATGATCTACTCCATGGAGGGGGAACTACTATGAAGAGCAACTGGAAAGGAATAAAAGAGACAATCACTCCAACATGTCAGGAGGTTCTGGGCCACAAGAACCACCATCAAAGGAATGGATCGCTGTTGATACACTAGATAAGATTGAAGAAAGGATGAACAAGAAAGCGGCAATCAATACCAGCCGAACAAGAACAGAAAAAGCCAATGCACAAGCCGAAGACACAGAAGTAAAAAAGCAAGAGGAACATCAGAACGGACAAACGTAAATATGTGGAAGATTTAGTAATGACAACGGAAAAGGTTGCAAGAGAAGGAAACATGAGACAATTGTATGATACAACAAAGAAACTCGCTGGAAATTACCGTAAGTCAGAAAGACCAGTGAAAAGCAGGGAAGGCAAGGTAATCACCAACATTGAAAAACAACGAAACAGGTGGATAGAACACTTCAAAGAACTCTTGAATCGACCAGCTCCAATGTGCCCACCCGACATCGAAGTAGCACTCACAGACCTCCCAATCGATGCTGGTTCAACAACAATTGAAGAGATCAACATGGCCATCAGACAAACCAAGAGCGGCAAAGCAGCGGGACCAGACGACATTCCGGCAGGGGTACTGAAAGCAGACGCAGCAACAACTGCAAAGATACTCTACATTCTTTTCAGCAAGATTTGGGATAAACAACAAGTACCAACGGAATGGGAAGAGGGACACCTGATCAAAATACCAAATAGAGGCGGTCTCAGTAGGTGTGAGCATTACAGAGGCATCAGTCTTCTCTCATTACCAGGAAAAGTCTTCAACACGGTGTTGTTAAACAGAGTGAAGGACTCCGTTGACGCCCAACATCGAGACCAACAGGCTGGATTCCGTAAGGATCGACCGTGTGCAGATGATTGTGGAACGATCAAGTGAATGGAATTCATCACTTTACATCAACTTCATTTACTACGAGAAAGCATTTGATAGTGTGGACAGGACAACACTATGGAGGCTTCTTCGACACCACCACGTGCCTCAAAAGATAGTCTATTTTATACGAAATTCCTATTATGGATTAAACTGCAATGTCGTGCATGGAGGAAAACTCACTGACTCGATTGAGGTTAAGACCGGTATCAGGCAAGGTCGCTTACTCTCACCCTTTCTTTTTCTCCTGGTCATCGACTGGACCATGAAAACGTCAACATCTGGAGAGGAAGCACGACACACAGTGGACAGCTATAATGCGGCTGGAAGATCTAGACTTCGCAGATGATCTTGGTCTTCCATCACACACGCAAAAACAAATGCAGAAAAAGACGGTCGGTGTAGCAGCAGCCTCAGAATCAGTAGGTCTCAATATAAACAAAAGGAAAAGCAAGATTCTCCGATACAGTATAGCATGCACGAATCAAATTACACTTGACGAAGAAGCTTTGGAGGATGTGAAAACCCTTACATACCTGGGCAGCATCATTTATGAACATGTTGGATCTGATGCAGACGTGTAGGCACGAATCAACAAAGCAAAAGCAGCATATTTACGACTGAAGAACATCTGAAACTCAAAACAATCGCCAACCAACACCAAGATCAGAATTTTCAATACATATGTCAAGAAAGTTCTACTATATGTAGCGGAAACCTGGAGAACTACGGAAGCCATCATCTAGAAGATACAATTGTTTATTAACAGTTGTCCACACAAAATGCTTCATATCCGTTGGCCAGACATTATCAGCAACATCCGACTGTGAGAGAGAACAAATCAGATTTCAGCGGAAGAATAAATCAGGAAGAAGCGCTGGAAGTGGATAGGACAGATATTGAGGGAATCACTCAACCGAGTCACAAGGCAAGCCCCTACATAGAATCCTGAAGGTCAAAGGAGAAGACCAGAGAACAGATCACGCCGATAAACGGAGACAGACATGAGAAGAATGAACAAAAGTTTGATAGAACTAGAAAGGAAGGTCGAGGACAGAGTGTGTTGGAGAATGCTGGTCGGCGGTTTTTGCTCCATTGGGAGTAGGTGGATAAGTACTTGTACAATGTGTCGTTAAACCGATACACATTGACTTAGAATATGATCTGTCATTGCTAGACCTTGTTCTCACACACGAATGTGAAAATGTCGTCGACATTCAACACCTTCCCTCTCCAGTGAATAGTGACCTCATTGTACTTTCCTTTAAGTTCCGGACACATGGTATAGAATTTGCATCTGCTTCACCCTATATTAATATCTGGAGAGCTAATATTTCGGCAATCAGAGACTATACTGTCTCGATTGACTGGTCGGTCGATGCTGATTGATCAATCGAAGATGAATGGAATAAGTTTAAGGCTACATTCGAGTCCGTAACACAACCGTGTATCCCATGGTCAACACGTAAGCTGTCACATCGCCGTCCATGAACTAATAAGGAAACCCGGAAGTTGGGAAACACTTCTGGGACTTATTCTTGTTAACAGGGCAGGCATCACTTAAGTGTGAATATAAGAAAAATCTGGAATATACATAAAAAGACCATAGTTAAATCTCGTACCACTTACAAACGACAGTTGGCATATGGTAGCCGTACTTGTCCGAAGCAATTGTTTTCGTACGTTAAACGACGAACAAAACGTAGTGATGGTATTCCCGCGTTACTGTTACACGAGAAGTCAGATTTACTAGCTGAATCTGATCTAGCAAAAGCTGAGACTTTTTCAAACTATTTTATTGAAGTTTACTCAATGTGTAGTGTTGCAACTGCTTGTCCCATTTACATCGATATACCGTCCATAGGATCTGTACAAGTGACTGAGGAAGCTATTCTTCCATTGATGACTAACCTCAAACCTTGTAGGATACCGGGCCTCGATAGGTTACATCCACGCTTGTTGTCGTCACTTGCCGACGTTATTTCAAGAACGCTCGCGACGCTCTTCAACATGTCCCTTTCACTCGCTCAACTCCCTAGAAGTTGGAAAGACGC